TCTTTCTTTCTATTTGTGTTTTTACCTCTCATATTTGTTATAGAGTTATTCATGTAGCGAAAATATGTATTGAAATGCATTTCCGCGCCCTCGAAATTCAATGCATGAGCGTCGCGAAACGTATTTCAAAGCATTTCGCGACATAACTGTAAATGCATTTCAATACATATTTTCGCTACATGAATAACCCCATAACAAATATGAGAGGTAAAAACACAAATAGAAAGAAAGAACCCAGAATTTCTACTCGTACTTGATGAATGGACGATTCTAAATATTCCTTCAGTACTTCTTTAAAAATTTAGTACTCGACACACTTCAAGAACTCACAACTCAGCTCCTATTAAAAACGGGGTGAAATTTTTTTTTGAACCCGTTTTCAGCATATTTCAGAGTATCTTTGGTCAACAATTTAGTAAATTTTAAAACACTAATTCAAAAACGGGTCTTTGATAGACATGAATATTTTCGATTCTAGAATTTCTAGTAAATTTTAGTACTTTGTTTTAAAAAATTCAACCAGTTGGGAGAGTTTTGACCGTTCTCAGTAGTTGATTGACATTCTCTGCATTTCTAATCATTCCTCGGGCCCATTTTGTAAGGATGCTGAAGTTATATGTTTAACTGATGATACTCATCTTTCCATGTTTTTTTCAGATGGTTCAAAAAGACGATCACACAACTCAAAGAAGTTGGCAGCTCCCTCAAACATCATGAACGCTCCAACAGCTCAGTGACTCCGTGAATGCAGTTACTGAATTGTGCATTTTAACTTTTTTTTTAGTTTGCTTCATGTATTTTATATTCACAAAAATGAACAAATTTGAAATATTATCAATGCTTGCTTCTCCTTTTTTCCCTTTGCAAACGGTACAACATTTTGACCTCCGTTTTCCGCAAAAACCTAATTTTGTATTTATCTTTGTTATATATTTTTCACTTTCCCTTTATCATGTTTTGCATTTAAAAAAAGATTTCTTGATGCTTGCGGACCTTTGTGCTTCTAGCGGTGGTGGTGGTGGTGCGTCTTCTTTTCGTTTCTTAACGTGTATTTCTGGGTGGATGTGTGTGCCAAGCCAACGGGAAGCAAAAGAAAAAGAGAAGACGCGAGCGGGATAGAAGATGAGGCAAAAAGATTTAGAGTGAATGGGGGAATAGAGAGGAACAGAGCAGCTCGAGCTCTATGTGAGCCCCGCACGCGTAGACAAAGTAGCAAGCAAATTTTCCACGCACCAAACTTATTATTCTGCCATCTATGTGAAAACAAAAAAGTGTGCGGAAAAAAGAGAGTTCGCAGAGCTGCCTCACTATTTTTCTGCCGTCTTTTTTTCAAAAAATGATGCTATTTAACTTTTTTACTTCCTAATCTTTTTCGTCACCCCTTTTGCAGTCCCACTTTCCAAAGTGTCTGTCCAAGAAGTGACTAGTATAATCGATTTGACAAATTGCCCTCGTTTTTCACATTCAGAAAACAAAGCAGAAGCTCAACATCTTAACGGCTCGGTTTTTTTTTCGTTTTTTCTTCATTCTTTTTTCTTTTATTTTTACAATTGTTCACTCGAGTTTCAGATGAATTCTGAAAATATTTCAACAAAAACTATTTGCTCGCATCGTAATTCATCTTGCGAATCTTCCATACAGTTCATGAATTCGACGGCTGCTGCAATCACATTAACAGCGGGAGAGGTAACTTTTAAATGAAAGTTAGAACGACAATGAAAAAATAGATACGGAAAACAGTTCAAATTGTAGGTTTCACGAATGAAACAAGTGTTATCGTCTGCTTTTGAATTAGAGGATACTGTAGGAAAAAGACATCAGACATGTTAATGAAGCTACACATTTGAAATCAGTAAAATAGGATACAGTTTTCTTACATACCGTGTTAGAATACAAGTCTAGGTAGATATAATTGAAGTTACAGAACATTCCATTTTTCAGGAATAACGTTTTAGGCCTAAGTCTATTAGGTGGCTCCAAGTTGATCGGGTTGCTTTTGAAACAAAAACTTCCAATGTGCAATTTTAAAGGTTAGCGAAAACAACAACAACATGCTTCATGGTATCAATGGAGTAGGTTTGATAGACTTGAAGAGCACTGATAACGAAGACCAATGCTCGCATTCAAGCAGTCTAGAATCGCGGAACTCACTTACAAACCACCAAGGCAAGTTCTGAAATTGTATAAAAACTTACAGGGTTTGTTTCAGGAAGTCAAGATGGTGATGGAGAATCTGGGTCAACTTCCTGCTCAGAAGACTCATTTGAAATGTCAAGTACTTGTAGTGCTAGAGAGGAACTTTACGAAGGTTAGAAATGAGAAAATTGAATAAATATATATAATGTAATATGATGATTAAGAACGACGACGGTTGGAAAATAATGAAGTGGTTTCACGAAGATCGGTTTTCAAAGATTCAGCCAGCTACGAAAAACATTTTGAGTAAGCCTTTGGTTTCTATTTTACAATTTCTGAAATCTTCATTTTCTTCAGTGAAACGCCTCAATCAACCAGTAAAAGTTATGAGAAAGATGCAAATTTTCAACAAATCCGGCAGACTGTTGCGAACCAAATTGAGCACATTGATACTGGTATGTTTTTTGTGAGTGTGAAATATTTTGTATTGAAAGTTATTTGTTTTTCAGCCCTTCCACAATTAGATTTTGCCAAACTTGAGAAACAACTAACAACAGCGGCGAAGGAAAGAGAAGACGTGGAACGGAGGATGGCAATTGATTACGTAAGTATTTTTGATTACAAAACAAGCGGGAAATTATATATTTTAGATTCCCGAGAGAGACGCCTGGGTAAAACATACTACCTTAAGTCATCATCGAAAACTCAACTCTATTTTGAGACTTCCTCCAAGCAAAAATTTACAGGTATTGATAATAATTTATTACTTCATCTTCAGTTTGTTTTAATGCGTTCATAATCTACAATTTTCTATTACAGGTTTGTTTTATGAATGAGCTTAGTGAGACAGATACAAACGGAGAAGAATCTGAAGATTCTGATATGGAGCACACTCACGTTAGAAAAAGCAAATCGGTACCGAACTTAAAAAATGCCGCAAATCCTGATCTTTTGGATCCAAAAACATTGAACGAGTTGGTTGAAAAACTTGACAGAAATCTTAAGCTCAGTGAAAGTGAGTTATCAGTGAATACGGGTTATATCTCAAAATCGATATTCTCAGACGAGCGGTGTAAAATGCTGCGACACGTAGCTCAACGGGTGATGCGAATTGCTGAAGAAAGAGCGAAAACGTCACTGGCAGAATATAGAAGGTGCGTTTAATACAGTGTGAGAAAACGAGGATAATGCAAGTTATAGGCGAAGATCTAAAGCAAGTGAAATTCCGCGACAAGCAAGGCAGTATTTGAGCAAAACTAAACTGCCGGATATTCGACTAATCCATCAACAGATCGAAGAAGCCATAAGTCGTAAGTGTCAGCTCTAGTGTGAATGAGAAGCAGATAAAGAAAGATATGTCACATCTATACTGAACAAATCTGCCGTTTATTATTTGAAAATATTTTATCATGTAGTATTTTAGGAAAAAACACTGAGCTAGTGGGACTCCTTTTGGAACGGGACAACCTACACATGGAACATGACTCATTTAGACTTGATATTGACGACTATACTCAACAAAAATCACCGGTACATATGATATTACAATTAGAATACTGTAATTATGTGATTTCAGCTGATCTTCCTTGACATGAAGCAATTGGTGCAGCTTCAGAAAAAACTGGAAAACAACTGAAATGAACCAATCATTCACAAATTAATTATTTTTGTTATTTACAAGAGAACCATACATTGAAAAAAACGAAAATTTGTTAATGGTTTGTCAAAAGAAAAGATTGACACAAAAGACATATCTTACCATAAATTTCGAAAATTTTACCAACGCTTTCGGCTTCTGAGATGAATACTTTTTCTTTCGAAGTTATACAATTATCGACAAGAAAAATCCGATTTTAGTTTTAAGGTTCTCTTGTGAGCTCAATGTTTTTCTCGTTAATATTATTCATCTGAAATATTTTCATTTTTAGTAGTAAATAACATGTTTAACCCAGTCGAATCACTCTGTCGTTTTTATTTGCAATAAAATATTTTTGGTTGATTGACGATTATTACCCGCCATTGTTGGATACTCTCGAAATTGACTGGCTGACGTTACCGCTTGCCGATCAGAGAAACGAGAAACCGTCAGATATGATTGTTTCACCTCTCTCTCTCATTTCTCAAACACATAGAAATTGGAACTGTTTCAAAATTCGAAACGAACAATTCTAAAAATGAGAAATCCTGATCATTTTGAGAATTTTGAACTGAAAATTTTGAACTTTCAAATATAAAAAATATGTATATATTTGTGCACGGTTTGCTCTATCTTTTAACGCCAATTTCAAGAATATATACGTCATCAATCATCATAAAAACTTGGAGGATGCGTCATCACTGACAAACGCCCCTCTAAAACAACGCCACCTGTAATAGAGCGCCGATTCGGAGGAAAAAACGACTTATGAGCAAATTAAGGTGAAGGATGAGTACGCAATCATTGATGTATGCAATGTAATTTTTGAATTTTTCGAACAATTTTATAGTTTTAATTACTTTTTTCATATTGTTCTTCGTTTGTTTTTTAAACAGTTTTTTTCGAACTCTTTGAATGCATTGACTGGTGATTTGATTGCTAGATCTTTTTGAGAATGCGGTTTAGGGAACGGGCTTTATGGAGAAGACGACAAAAAATTCAATGTTTTTAATTCAACGGAGAGCTTCCTGGAGGACTAGGAACTATTAAACAGAAAACGGAAGAAACTATAGGGGAATCAATTTGTCCACTTAATGATAAAGTTGGAGTTCGAGACAAAGAAACCGAAGACGATATTCGCCAAGACGTTGGTGAAGATGATGATAGTGAAATTTCTCTTGATTTTATTTTTAAATCAATCTTATTACTTTTTGTTGATTCTTCTTCTGTTTTTTATTGTTGGTGGAATTTTTTTCAAAAATTTGTTTTCGAAAAATAGATCGCCACCCTCCAGTAGAACGTCACCTGTAATAGACCGCCACCTCAAGACCCCCTCAGAAAAATAGAACGCCACGACAGTTTTTACGGTAAGTGACTCCATCAAACAAAACGTTTCAATAAAAGTGTTCACTGTAGTGTTTAGAATTGTTATTTTAAAGCATGATTTATTTATTTTTAATCAATTATTTAAAAAGTGAACCAAAATACTAGAATGATGAAAGCTGATAAAAATAACAGTAACATTCAGAGTAATTCAAATTTTATTGGAGGTCTTTGTGTTATTGGTATGTGCAAATGGCCCAGTTTTATCGCAAAAAAAGTTGATAAGATATTCGCTGATAAGAAGAACAGTTGGGGAGCTCCGTCTATTTCGTTGCATTATTTCTTGATGAGAATCAATTGAAACTTATCTTGCATAACGTATTCATAACAAGAAACACAGATGGTTACGAAAAAGTGAGTTTTTTTTGCAATCATCCGTTTTTTTTGTAATTTGTTTTTAGGTATTTTATAACTGTTGCTACTGTTGTGTTAGGAGGCAGTGCGCAATTTTACAGTTATGGAGTGGTCAACCCTGCACAAGTAATTATTACTGATTGGATAAATCAAACGTATATCGAAAGGTTCCGTTTCAAATCGTATAGTTGATCATCGATTTTTTTATTTCAAGGTACAAAACTCCTTTGTCGTTGACAGTGTCAAATGTAATCTGGTCGTTTGTTGTTTCGAGTATCGCGATTGGTGCGATTTTAGGAGCATCCTTCACAAGGTGTGTAAGTTTGATCGGCTTGCTTGAATGAATTAACGGAATTCAGAATTATTGGTGAAAAATACGGGAGGCGAAATGGTCTAATTTTCAATGGAATCTTAAACGTCTTTGCCGCGTTGTTTGAGCTTGTTGCTAAAAAATTCAGGTATTATTCAAATCAAATTGAAAAAAATAATCCATCTTATCAGTTCAGTTTTTTTTCTAGTTTACTTTTATTGCATTGAACATTGATGAAAACGTAGTTAGTAATATTATTAAATACATGTACACCATGTCAATATTTATATTCTCATGTTTGCAGTTCGCCGGAAATATTGATATTTGGTCGATTCATTTATGGAATTAACATGGGCTTATCAAGTGGACTCGTTCCAATGTACCTTATGGAAATTACACCGTACAAGTTTCGCGGACCAGCGGGTACCCTTCACCAGGTGAACTAATGGTGTTTGATGTAATGTGTATATGCAACGCATTCAGGTCGCCGTTGCCTTTTCCGACTGGTTTTCACTTTTGATTGGGTTACCAGAAGTGCTCGGAGACGCCAACAACTGGCCTCTTGCATTTGCACTCCCAGGACTGCCTGCACTTGCACTAGTCTGTATTCTTCCTTTTTGTCCGGAATCTCCTAAATATACACTTGGGACAAAACATGACAGAGAAAAAGCGTTAAGAGATGTAGAAAAACTGATTGGTAAAGATCATGCTCCACACATGTTTGAGTCTATCGTGCGAGAAGTGGCTTTGGATGAAGTGAGTTCATTTTCCGCAGTAACAGTGTCATCCTTTACTAATTAAAGGGAGATGGGACTTTCAAAGAATTGTTCACACGCCGCGATCTTCGAGTACCACTTGCTGTATCTATCATAGTCATGATTGCTCAACAATTCACTGGATGTACTGCTGTTTTTGCATATTCCACAGACATGTTTTTAAATGCTGGTCTGAGCCCGTTAGTTTCCTCATTCTTTAATCGACTTCATTTAATGTTGTGACTTTTAGATTGCTGGCCAGATTCAGTACCTTGGCCATAGGAATCGTTTATTTTTTATTCGCATGCACATCGCCATTCCTTATTCACAAAGTTGGTAGAAGATCGCTGTCTCTTTTCCAATTGGCTAGCTGTATGGTTGCTCTGATGATGCTTTCTTTATTCACATTCCTTCAAACTTATGAAAATGTAAGTTTTGATAAAACGAATTTCCCCTCAAATTGATATTTACAGATTGAATGGGCACGGTACGGAACCATTTTCTCATTGGTATTTTACATGTGTGTGTATGGTGTAGGATCGCCAATTCCATGGATTATCGCCAGTGAATTGTTCACACAACAGGTACAAAACTATGACTGAAAAATGCACTGTTCTTTTCCAGTTCCGTGCAACTGCTGTGACAGTATCTGTTTTCGTTGCTTGGACGTTTGCTTTCCTGGTTAGCACTTCTTATCTTCCATTCCAACAGGTAAGAAAAACTTGTTCATATTTTTCTGTGCGAGCATGACATCAAAAACTATAATCCGTGCTGCGTTGATTTGATGGAATGACCAGATAAAGAAGGGGCGCCTAGTTGTGCAATTAAAGAAAAGTTAGATTCAAAAATTTTTTAAAACTTTAATCTGATGGAAAAAAAATGGAAAAACTGGAATGGAAACTTTATGAAAAAAAACAGGATAGGAGTTTTTGCGGATACTAACTCATAAGAACAAAAAACACATTTCAGCTTGTCGGAGTCACTCTCAGCTACTTCCCGTTCATCATAGGACTTGCAGTTTTTGGAATCTTCATCTACGTTCTTTTACCAGGTTTAACTCACTTTGTATGAAGATGATAACTGATATGACTATTTGTTGCAGAAACTCGAGATCGACCAATGGTAGAAATCGTAACCGAGGTTCATCACCGAACTGCTTCACTATCTGCTGGACGTCCGTGGGACGCAAGTCGTCCACCGAGTCGACAAGAAGTACAACGCCTTTTAGATACTATGGATCCTCGAAGTTATAGCTCTTATGACAACGATGCAGCCAACGAAGAGTAACGAGTGGAACAATTGTCAAAACGTTTTTTCATGGTTGCATTTTACTTAGATTGTTTGTGAATTCCATAACCTATTGACTTTTTTTAAATGAAATGATCACAAGAGTATATGAGAACACTTATTCATTGAGATCAGAAACAAAGCGAAGTAGAAGGGTTTTAAGGACGGGAGGAGTGAGCGGAGAAATTATGCGATAAAAATCTATTCGTTGTATGGCTTTGTACCACGCTGAATACCTTTGTTGTACGGGGGGGGGGGGGGGGGGTTGAAAGTAAAAGACATGAACTTAACAAAAAAACAACAATGCAAATTAAAATAATAGTAAGATGATAAACTGTGAAACTTGAGATACTATTGGAGTTTGAGATTAATGCGATTCATGATGGAATGCATCTTTTGTGGACTCTCCAACGGCCAGCTCCACTTGTTAATCAGTTTTCCGTCAGAAACATCAGATTCAAACCAGTAGCACAACCAGAACCACCTGAAATTAGATTTATTTTTCAATGACAATGAATAATGAATATCATTTCAAAACTAATATATGTTAGCTTAAATTTCAAAAGCTCAACAAACCATCATTCTTTTACGTAATCTCAATTTTTCATTCCCTTTTTTCCTCCTATCTATCTATAGTTTTCTGAAATTGAATAATTCAATTTAAAAAAAACACACCAAAGTCTACTCAGTGGCGCCTGAGGTCTGTCCTCCTTTTTCATTTCGAAAATTTGGTGATAAGACCAGAAAACGTGACTCGTCAACCAGTATGCAATCAGCACATCCATTGTATAGTGGCCGCCTGACACGACAAGCGCTCCAATGCCAAGAAAAGTGATAGGCGCGGCGATGTATCTGCAAATGAAAAAGTTTGACTTGGTTTTTAGTCTGATGGAAACTCCTGCATTCTGGTACAACATTATTCGAGTCGGCGACGGTTCTTGCAATGGAAACATATAAGAGCATTTTCATGACACGTGTACTAATTTTTGTTTCTTATTGATATTATATCTAACCTGAGAATAACCAGTCCTCTCGGCGTGTACTGCAGCTGGACAAAATACATGATTGTGAGTACAACGGTATGTCCGCTGAACATCAGGTCTCCACAAAGAATCTTATCCTGTCCAGAAGTAAGTCCTAGTGTTATCACATAAGTGAGAAATCTTAAATTAACAAAATATTTGTCAAACGTAAATCTAATTACTCACCTAGTTGCGATTTCCATACCGTACATTGCAGTTCGGTTCACTTGTGGCTGACATATCTCGTCTCTGTTGTGAAATGAAGGAGGCAGGAACGTGACCCCAAGAATCACAGCACGAAGACCGTACATGATGGCACCCAAAATGAATGTACGACGAAGGACAATCCACCGCTGGTGATGAAGGAAAATGATAGTGAATGCGACGATAGAACTGCAAGTAGTCATGTTATTTTCAAAAGTCAGTGCGAGAATTCTGAAGAACGGATCATATTTTTGACAGAATTGAAATTGTATATAAAAAGATTTATAGGGAACGTAGACTAACTGGTTAGAGCGTAAAATTTACCTGACAGTAGACAGAACATCTCCAACACTCCATGCCCATCTCTGTTGTGGAATGATCATGAACGTGAGATCAGGAAGTGGCTCTCTAGGCACGACATCGTGAATCACAGTGAGAAGGAAGAAATTGAGAAATGCAGAAAGCATGAGGCACAAAAACGCCGTCAACGTTTTGAAACCTTCCGAATTCCCATGATGTTCATAATGTTGATATGTGTTTTCACAGATGAACTGAAAATTGATACTGTGTGATTGAAAAGCGTTTGGACTGAAAATATGTTTTAAACAAATCGAAAAGGCGACATGGAATATTTTCTCAATCTGTGTATGTTTTCAATAGCCGCTTGATTCAATCATGTTGAGTCGTTTATCAAATTTCGTTGAATAAAATAATATCAGCACCTAGCTTTGTTTTCACGAGCAGACTTCATTTCGACTTTAATCGTTAGAAAGAGTGGTTTGAAGGTTTCCGAATGAAATCATTTTTATCAGAATACCGCCAACATGAATAAATATTTGCAAAATAGACTGTCGTTAAAAGAAATAGCTAACACGGTAGAGCGCACCCCCAAATTTTTTTCGGACTTAGTAGATGAACTTTTTTTTCCAATTTCAATTCTCAGAAATCTACAAAAACGTCACAAACGTTTTTCACCTGTGTTGTTGGAATGACGTTTTCCGTGCCATATTGGAAAAAAGATTTATTGAAAGTTATTTTTACGTGTTTATCGTTCTAATCATTTTCGTCGTCCTTTTTTGAACTTTCTCTTTACTCACCTCTTTTTGAATAGGAGTTGGCTCTGGGTCTATAGGGTCTATGTTGATAACAATTCCATTACTGGCACATGGATCCCGCGACTGGAGCACATCTGTGAACTCCGACCTGTTTGTCATCTGGGAAAAAACAGAGATTGCAAGACGTTGAAAAATGAAAGATATAATAGGGAATGGGAGAGAAAAATACTTAGGCGTGACGAAAAAATGTTGCGAGTGATAAATCTTTGTTTTATTTCAACGTGACTTTCTTAGAAATTATTGCTATAAAAAATCAACAACGCGTTCTTGTTTCTGTTTTTTACTTGAATAGATCGATTATTTTCTCTGTCAATCTTTACGAAAATTATTAATGGAAACAAATCAAACTGATTCATTTTCCTTACAAAATAGAAAAAACGCGCTTTACAAAAACAATGTTCGTGTTGTTTTCCCGTTCGATAGGTTTCCTCCAACCCTCAATACGAATCGAGACAAAACAAATGTGGCATACACACAATGATGGCGGGAGGCAAGGTTTATGGGTGAATTGGCGCGCTGGGACACCCTTCCGAGGGCGGCAGTCCGCGATTTCGCGTAGCCTTCTGTGCAATGCGTACTCACACCCTCCTCACCCAAGCATCCCCTTCATTCACTCATCATTTGTTTTGAAAAGAGGAGGGAGGACGACTCCTAGCCAAACGCACATGTTAATTATCGGTTTTTTTCTGACTGTGTTGTTCTGATTTTGATCGACTTCTCAGGATATATGAAAGAAATTTTTCTTTGGCTAGTAATAGCTTTAATTAGACAAAGAGCGTACCCATACTGCCAAACATATTCATTAAAGGAGGTCAGACATTAAAAAAAAATGTTTTCCTGATATTTTGCATAGATAACCCCCATGAGGGGTTGAACTCATGACAGGCAGCTCAGGGGTATAGCGCCGCTACCGGCTGAGCTACGGGAGCGCGAAGGCGCCTGACCACCGATGGTCTACATAAGCGCGACGCAGTTTCGTCCCCCGAACTGTCCCCCGAAGTTTTTGCTGTCTCACCTCCTTTAATTTCCTCTATTTCTCCTCTTTTTCAACTATCTCGTTTCCATTTCATGAGGTATAATGCAACAAATTCACTCGTGTTTGCATTATTTATTCAAACATTTCGCTCTGTTCTCTCGGCAACTCGTGGCAACACAGTTTTTTCCCCAATTTTTGTCTTTACAGATCGACATTCTCAAATCAGAAAAATGGTCGATGAGGATAAAAAATCGGGGACGAGGTGAGTTTCTGCATTTTCAACATTAAATACCTCCAAATAGATTTTCCAGAGTATTCAAGAAAACAAGCCCGAATGGAAAAATCACAACATATTTGGGGAAACGAGATTTCATCGACCGCGGCGATTATGTTGATATGATAGGTGAGTTCAAATTTTTTGAATGAACAACCCCAAGATATCCCCAAGTTTGTATCGATTCATGAAATTTTTTTGAGATTCACACTATATTGTTCTAGAATTAGTTTTGTTCCCTAGTAACCATGTGCATTTGAAAAATATTATTATTATTATTATTATTGTACCATGCCGCTTCCCTTGTGACTTGCTGAAAACTTGGAATTAATCGTGATTATTCCCACCAAATTTTTTTCTTCAGATGGCATGGTTCTCATCGACGAGGAATACGTAAAGGAAAACAAAAAAGTAACTGCACATCTACTAGCTGCATTTCGCTATGGGAGAGAAGACCTTGATGTGCTCGGATTGACGTTTCGTAAAGATTTGATATCGGAAACGTTTCAAGTGTTCCCACAAACGGAGAAAGCTATCGCGCGACCGTTAACAAGGTTACAAGAACGGCTGAAACGAAAACTTGGTCCAAATGCCTATCCGTTTTGGTTCGAAGTTGCACCCAAAAGTGCAAGCAGTGTCACTCTTCAGGTTGGTTACGATAGTCGTTCTCCTCCGAAAAACTGTATCACCCAGCCTGCACCTGGAGACACTGGGAAACCTTGTGGAGTGGATTATGAACTGAAAACTTTCGTTGCCTGCACAGAATCAGGCAATTCAGAAAAATCAAAGAAAAGGTTCCACTATCTCTTTTTTCCTGAGAAACCGTTTTTCTTCCAGCGCAATAACTAACACCGTCCGTCTTGCCATCAGAAAGTTGACTTACGCTCCGTTTGAAGCACGCCCACAGCCAATGGTCGATGTCTCGAAATATTTCATGATGTCATCCGGTCTTCTGCACATGGAAGTTTCATTGGACAAAGAAGTAGGACTATATTCATGCCCCTTTTAAAAGGAAGTTTTTTTATCAGATGTATTACCACGGAGAATCTATCGCTGTTAATGTGCACATTCAAAACAACAGCAACAAAACGGTCAAAAAGCTAAAAATATGTATCATCCAAGTAGCCGATATTTGCCTTTTTACAACTGCTTCCTACTCATGTGAAGTTGCTCGTATCGAGAGCAAGTAAGTGATATATAAGTGTGTTCACGTAACCCTTGTTTCCTTTTTTCAGCGAAGGATTCCCAGTCGGGCCGGGAGCTACACTTTCCAAAGTTTTCTCTGTCTGCCCTCTTCTCAGTAATAACAAGGATAAAAGAGGACTCGCACTGGATGGACAACTCAAGCATGAGGACACTAATTTAGCTTCAAGCACAATGTAAGAGCAGAAGCATTGAGAAACAGCGAGTCGAAAAAAAAACAGATGAGATGCAAAAGAGGCGACGAGAGGGGGAGAGTTTGTAAGGAAAATGGAGAAGGAAATATGCTTCCGTGTTTCCCTCCTCAGCAGGTTCAATTCAATTTCTCCCCTTCCTAAAATCCTTCACTACTCAACGAAATGAAATTGAGAGTTAAAGAAATGGGAAATTTTGCAGATTGGACGCCAAAACTTCAAAGGAAAGCTTGGGGATTGTTGTGCAATACAGAGTCAAAGTTCGTGCTGTGTTGGGACCACTGAATGGAGAACTATTTGCTGAACTGCCATTCACTCTCACACACTCCAAACCTCCAGAAACACCAGAAAGAACGGTAAATCATACTATCTCATATTTGCATTGAACATTATTTATTTTCAGGAGCGTGCTTTCTCGATAAGCGATGCTACTAATGGCTCCGACCCTCAAGATATTGATCTCATTCAACTACACGAAGAACTGTCAGTAATGTTAAACACACGTCACGCTCTCCAAACTTTAAAATGTTGATTTTTCAAAATGTCATTTTCAGAGAGCTACGGGATGATGACGATCTGATCTTCGAAGATTTTGCTCGCATGCGGTTACACGGAAACGACAGTGAGGATCAGCCGTCACCAAGTGCCAACTTGCCGCCAAGCCTTTTGTGAATATGTATTCAAAACGATCAAAAACAATTGTAATAGCTTTTCTTTCATCACTGACTTTGTAATTTATTTTTTCTCTGTCATTTCTTTCTTGCTGCGCTTCAAAAACCCCAACTGATACAATCAACATCCCTTCTTTTCCCACATATTTTTATTTTGTAATCAATCAACCTATATTCCCATGTCTGCCACTCCAGAAGGGCATTGTTTCAAGAATGAATTAGTTTATGTCAACAGAACAATACACACACGCACATATACGCACTGGGGAAGGTCAATGCAACGGGTCGATTAGATATAATCTGCCGGGGGCCCTTTTGCGCAGCAGCAATCGCGCAGCAACGTCCGCGCAGCCATTTCTGCCCTTTTCTGTGTCCTACGACACTCCGTCATAACGCATTGCGCCTTGTTTAGTAATCTGCGTCTCCTTGTTGTCATACTCTATTTTTGTGGAGAAGAACTGCGTTTTTATTGTGGTGGCCGCTCAACTTACTAACTACTACTTATTTATTTGGCAAAATGCTGAACAGTTTGTTCTTTGTGAACACTAGCGGGTAAGTGCATCTTATTCAAAAAGTTCTGCTACCTTTGTACATTTCAGAGATGTGTTACTGGAAAAACATTGGAAATCTGTTATTCACCGCTCTATTTGCGATTATTTCTTCGACATTCAGAAGAAGGTCTGTAGTCTGGACTAATTTAGTACAAAACTCGCTATATATTTTTCAGAGTAATCACTCGGAAGATGTTCCTCCGATCATTTCAACCCCACATCATTATCTGATCAATGTTTATCAGAATAATCTGTATCTCGTCGCGGTAATCACAATAGAAAGTGAGTTAGAGTTTTGTTTATTTTCGAAACATTGATTGTTCTAGCTCCTCCACTTATGGTCATTGAGTTCTTGCACCGCGTGATTCAGACGTTTTCTCAATATTTTGACGAATTCTCGGATTCTACTATAAAAGAAAACTGTGTGATGGTATTCGAGGTTTGTTTCTGATTTACCAATACTTCGAGTACTAACAAAAGTTCCAGCTTCTTGACGAGATGTTAGACAATGGGTTTCCACTGGTTACGGAAATGAACATTCTCCAAGATCTGATCAAGCCGCCCAATTTTCTCAGAAACATTGCCAATCAGGTTACTGGACGGACAAACTTGTCGGAAACGCTTCCGACAGGACAGCTCTCGAATATTCCATGGAGACGTCAAGGAGTCAAATACACAAACAACGAAGCTTATTTCGACGTGATAGAGGAGATCGACGTTATTGTGGATAAGCAAGGATCAACGGTGTTTGCTGAGATCCAAGGATATGTGAGTTGGTTTTTTTTTGGAAATGCAGTGTTCAGTCAACTAGGTGTCTTGCCTCGGTCGTTAGAAACCTGGTAAAATAAGTTTTTGAAACAAATAACACTCAAACCGAGAAATGCAAATTAAAATGACAATTTACAGATTGACGTTTGCTGCAAACTATCGGGCATGCCTGATCTTACTATGACACTTATCAATCCTCGTCTTCTGGATGATGTATCGTTTCACCCATGCGTACGATACAAACGTTGGGAAGTACGTGAAGCCCAATTACAAAAAAAAAACTGTTTTTTTTTCAGAATGAGAAAGTATTATCTTTTGTCCCGCCAGATGGCAACTTCCGTCTTCTTTCATATCACATTGCGGCGCAAAAGTGAGTTACATGAGAACAGTTAATTATAATTTTCACTGGATTTCAGCATGGTTGCAATCCCGATTTACGTTAGACACGTAATTTCACTTAAGCCAAACGCGGGAAAGTTGGATCTCACTGTGGGACCGAAGTTGAGCATGGGAAAAGTTCTAGAAGACGTTGTTTTGGAAATGGTAATGCCAAAATGTGTTCAAAATTGCAACTTGATTGCGAGTCACGGCAAAGTCGCTTTTGATCCAACACAAAATTGATGCAATGGACAATTGGCAAAATCGAAGTTGGAAAGCCCTCTACGCTAAAAGGCTCTGTAGCATTGAGCGGGACATCAGTTCTTGAAAACCCGCCAATTTCACTGAAATTCAAAATTAACCAGTTGGTTTTATCCGGTTTGAAAGTGAGTTTATATGACGGATTCCAGACCATATTTATCTTTTTTTCAGTCAATCGTTTGGATATGTATGGAGAGAAATATAAACCATTCAAAGGTGTTAAATACATCACCAAAGCGGGTAAATTTACCATCCGTACTTAAGCATTCCACATTTTTATGATGATCTCACTTAACTATTTCTAATGTATCTACTCACACATTGGCATTCAATGGAAGGATAATAAATTTTGATCTGAAAGTATTCTTATAATTGAATGATGTTTACGGGTTGAAAACCCTAAAATTTTTCAGAAATAGTTTTTTTATTAGTTTTTCATTATTGATTACAGAATTTCGATTAAGACGGGTTAAAGGACATCAGTATGTTGAAAATAACTTTCATTATATCGACGTGGATTTGTGCTACATTGAGTCTTGCACCAAGAGAGGACCTCATAAAAACACTAAAATTCAAGCCAGATCGGATGACAAAAACGTCTATTTTGAGAGAACATGATAATCTGAACGATGATTTTCATCAACCCAACAGCCAACTTGAATTGACTCAGCTAGCATACATTACTCCGGTGAGGATTTCTTTCAGATGTGGTGAAATTCGTAAAGAGCTATTTCAGTGGAACAGAGGAGGTTACGATCTGGCTGAAAAAACTGCTCACAAGTTGACACACGTGTCTCCCGTTTGGTTTCAAGCCAGACCATCACAAATTGACGGAGTTTTGAACACCTGCAAAATTGAAGGAATGCATGAGATTAAGCGAGGTTCGTGATTTTCGTCGGTTTTTCGATACTCATAATGAACTTAAGATTGGTTGGAATCATTGAGAGAGAAAAACGAGAAAATCAAAATTGTTCCTAGAATCATATTTGACGAGTGGAGTTCTGAACAAATGAAGGCGTTTTTGATGGATGCCCAAACTGCAAAACGCTGTTTCGAAGATATTGCAAATTTCTACAGTGTTCGTGTGATAGCACCTATACGAATTTCGAATCAATTTGAAGATTTCAGAGGAACCAACTCGATGGAGCAGTTGTTGAACTGTATATGCAAGCCTTAATATCTATACAATCTCTACAAATCAAAAGCGTGATCATCGAGAGCTTGCATGATTTAAAGAAATCATTCAGAAAATTGCACATGCAAGTCATTTACACTGTTCCAGCACCTCTCGAATGGGACAAGTAGGTTTCTGAGCTGTTGGTCATTCAAAACGTTTTTTTTTTCAGCCAGCCAAACAATTTGATTACACCAGGCGAATACCGCAAACTAACCGATGCTGCAGATTTTGTTCAAATCATGACGTATGACTACCGTGGTAACAAACCTGCCGGAGTTGCTCCATATGATTGGGTTAGTGCTGATGCGTTACCAAAACTATTAAAAATGATGTTTCTGTCTTTCAGTTCGAAAGTTGTATTTTCTATTTGGGTGGTGGTACGAAAACACTGGCAGGACTAAACTTCTATGGTTACGAATTTTCGAAAGGAAAGGTGGATGCGATCACTTTCGACAGGTCCGTTATCTCTATTTCTAGACCTATGTAGTTGACATTTTGTTTCTTCAGGTATCTCAAAGTCTTGAAATCTGACAAAACAACACTCTCATTTGACGAGAACTCGATGGAACACAAGCTGAAAACACCAACTTCAGTGATCTACTACCCATCGTTGACTTCTCTCGAATTGCGAATCAATATGGCTCATCGTTACGATGTTGGAATTGCTATTTGGGACTACGGACAGGGGCTGAATCACTTCACGAACCTGCTCATTTGAATTGGATTTAAAGCTTTGTGAATAACATTTTTTGAATATGAAATAGCTCCGGGTTTTTTTTAATCAAAGATTCTATTTTGTGTATTTCAGGAAAATAAAGTATAAAACGTCTTGAATTGATAAATGTAAGGATTTTTGATATAAAAAAGTGGCGGGAAGCACATCAAGTGGAGAGACCCTCATACAGTGAAAGAGCGTGGACGATAGAAGGATCTGCCTTCGCGCCCTCTTTGAATTCCTCGAGTGTCAATTGAGCGTCGTTATTCTGCAAAAAGTCACAATTCTGCGCTCTGTTCAGGCATTTAAACTTTGTTTCCCGCTTTTAAAACTAGATACAGTGTTACAAAAAATTCTACAACAGCGGAGACGGTATGTTAGTATTTTAACTTGTTCTAAGTTGGAGAAAAAACTTTTTGATTTCAAAATTTCCCACACAAAATTATTATCAGAGACCCGCACAAAACTGAATCAATGTAAATCTGAACACATTTTGGTCAATCTTTAAGGTTAGTTTTTTGAAGCTTTTTCATAATCTATTATGAAACTCATCTGCTTGAAGAAAATTGATTTTCAAATCTGATTATTACAGCAATTAACAGTTTTAAAACATAGTTCAAAGGTAGACACATATGCCTGTGATGTGAATTGGTATTTTTTCAAATAACCAAAACAGGAAAATTGTATTTCATTGAATTCAAAAAAATGCTGCGCTTGTTTTCTCAGCACCCTCGGGATTAAGGAAAAAAGAAAAACAAGTCTATTTAGCTTTTCATTAGGATAAGTGAATAAATCACGGTGAACCTAAACTCCATTATACCAACCTTGTCCATCATTCTAAAAATGCGATCAACTCTTTTTTCCGGCGTGTTCTCTTCTTCAGGAAGCTGTACACTGGTTCCGACCATTTTATAGATGGAGTCTACTATTGACAGCATTTCGTTCCGCGTGATAAACCCATCCTGATCCAAATCGTAAAGTTTGAAGGCCCCTTAACATGACGATTTATTATGCTTCGTGTCTCCTGTGAGCACTTACAATGAAGTTTCTCATCCAAGTTTCCGCGTGATGTGATTGACAAAGCACGAATGAACTCGTGGAATTCAATGGCTCCATCCTGAAAAAAATATGACTCAGATGAAATCAGTTACACTCAGCCTCACCTTGTTTTCATCAAACACCTTGAAAACAAACGAAGCAAAGTCGGAGGGATCGCCTTGTGGAAAAAATTGCTTGTAAATTTTTTGGAATCCCTGCAAAGTATGAACTTTGAAAAACACTTTCAAAAAGTCACAATCGGTAATAAAACTGCTTGAGTTTATACCACACAAAATATATATAAATGCCCGAAAAATCTTAACTCACTGCTTCTGTGAGCATTCCATTAGGACAGTCCCGTACGAATCCCTTGTACCACTGCTTTATTTCTTTTTCGGTAACTAAAAAAAGAACACTTTAAGTTTGGAAATGGTCAAATTTGTCATACAATAAGTTTGTTCAGCTAGTTCTCTAATTTGAGAACCCTTTAATTTGCTATTTCCCTTCCCCATCTTGCGATGGAAATCAGTGGTCGCAAAATAATCGGATACCAGAAGACAAGATGGTTTGAATAAAGCCGACTGAAACAAAATAAGAAGCGATGGGCAATTACTCTGAAACTATAGAAAAATTGGCAGCGGAAAATGCTATAAAAAGAATAGCAGAGACCGATGGGTAGAATGCGTTAATTGAATAAAGGCATTATTGGCGCTACAATTTTTTGTTTCTCGTATACACTAAAATGAGCATCGAGATATAAAATTGTGTTATTTCAATTGACTTTTCGTAATTAATCGTGATAGTTTTTGAGATTCCTGTTTTTCTGTTAGAAGTTCGAATATGATAGTTTGTGGTGTTAAAAATCAATTCTTTGACAACTAACTTAAATAGTAAACAACAAAAAATTCCCGTGGTTTCGTTTAAAAAAAATGAAATCTATTAGTATTTGTGAAAAAAAGAAACTGAAACTGAGCCAAGCTCAGAGCACAGAGAAAATATTTTTTTTCTATATTCAGGTGTTTAGAAAACTTCAGAACTTGCCAAGACCGATTAAAAGCACATCGACGGATGTACACACGTCATCAATAAGCTCCAAGTCGGATGCCCCCATCAGTTTATCCTGGGGAGAATAGTGGTTTAATGTGAGAGGCTCGAAACGGACAGCCGAAAAAGAAGAGAAAACTGGAGGTGTGCGAAATGGCTGGGCTACTCCAGTAATGCACAGCTCACAAAAATCCGGCAGTATAGGCAAATAGAAGTGAAACGGGAAGAGAGAGACCATGTGAGAAAATGAAAGAGACGAGCAGCAGTAGGCCCCCGTAGCAACCCAATCACTGCGTTGCTAGGATTAGCGATTTAGTTACAAGCGTATGAAGAGGATAGCCAAAGACGACGACTATGTGATGAAGCGGGAGTGAGGAGAAAGAAGAAGACCAAATCACGGTGCAGTACAATCCTCTGCTTTCATTCCTTTCACTCGCTCTCTTTCTCTCTAACTCGATATCCATGTCCATTTCATGAATAACCGGAAAATGAGTTTGCCTTCAGAAATTCTCACTGAGAGCTCACTCTTACAGAGGACGAATTTTTGGCAGCAATGTGCAAAATTTCACGTTCCCCCAGAGCAATGAGATATTCGAAAATATACTTATGCTAAAACGATTGTACTCGGAAAACTGAACAGTGATGAACAATTTTAAAAAATAACTTATGTCAAGAAGAAATCCAAATAAAAAGAAACAAAGGTTTAGTTTGTTTCGAGTGAATAAAATAAAATATTACAGCACAGTATTTTTGTTTTTACTAAACTTCCCATATCATGATATCAAAGATAAAAAACCATTATTCGGAAATTTTAATAACAAAACAGCTGAAATTTTGGCATTGTTCCGAAAGTTCAAAACAGAGCAATTGTTTTTTCTGGGTTCTCGAATACATGTACTTCGACGAGATGTTCATTTGTTATCTTTTACCAAAAAAAAAACAGATAATTGGAAATGTTTCTTTCATCAAAAAGAGCAAATAGATCATGTTTCCACTTAAAAAAAGAAAGAACCTCCTTTACTTTCATAGAAACGGATTTCGAAGGATCAAATTTCTACAAATTGACAATGACAACTTTCCAGAAAAACTACAGTTTTGGTATCAAAGGCATTTTTTTAGAACCGGGCTACCAAACGAAATTGAAGTATAATGAAACCCGTAGTACTAAAAACAGCCACAGTTTCCGAGGAAAATGTTGTGAACAGAATAATTATTTATTAAGAATTTGTTATTCTGAGCGTTAAAAAAATGCTAGATGCACAATGGAATCTTGAAAAAAGCTCAAAATGTTGTTGTGGGGTTTGAGAAGAAACAGAACAACAATTGGGAACTCTTGTTTTTGAGAAAAAAACTATGGAAGACAAGCTTAATATATTATGCTAGCTCTTGAAAGTGGAGTTACGCCAGTGTTCTGTACAGAAGCATTATTTTTGACTGCTGCAATAGTTTAGGAAGATTGAATAAAACGCGAAAATGAGAGCTGAATTTATTTCATTCAACAAAAAAAATAGAGAGCAAAAAGGAAACAGCAATAGAAATTGAAAACGCTGAAGCTTCTTCGCACAGGAGAAAATAGGAGCAAAAAAGAAAAGCGAGAGACAGAACAAATTATTCATCAGAAGTAAACATGGATAAGTTTCATCTATTGCGGGGCACACACACACCCTCTTGCCTTCAACACCGCCAACGCTTGACCTTTGGTTAAAGTGTTTGAGGTGGGTGCAAAGAAAAAGCAGACTAAGGCATTCCTATTATTCTTGAAGAAATCGTTTGAACAACAGAATCACAATAAGCAAAGGTGTGATTTCAAAAACGAACCAATGGAAAATATACCTGGCTATTTCTGAAAAAAGTTCTGAAAACTTCAGAGATTTCTAAAACTATTCAGAATAAACCAATTTATTCCAAAAGTCACCGAAAAGTATGAAATTGTTTCAATTGTTCAATAAACTTCTCATAAAGACACATTTATTCAAATTGAGGAGAACTGATTTGATTCAAAAATTCGAAGCATTTTTAGGGCGGAAAGCCGGGTCATGATTGGTAGGTATCTTATATCAGCTTTAAGACAATACGAAGAAAAGCAGCAAAGTTTAGCACACTGTTTCATTTCATGCAAGACCCAAGTATTTTCCTATTATATCTGACCACGTTTTTATAGAATCGAATCATAAAAAAATCTTAAAGGAGGCGAGACAGCAAAAATTTCGGGGAACAGTTCGGGGGACGAAATCGCACCGCGCCTATGTAGACCATCGGTGGTCAGGCGCCTTCGCGCTCCCGTAGCTCAGCCGGTAGCGGCGCTCTACCCCTGAGCTGCCTGTCATGAGTTCAACCCCTCATGGGGATTATCTATGCAAAATATCAGGAAAACTTTTTTTTTTTTGGTGTCTGGCCTCCTTTAAACAACAACTGTTTCTTATTTTTATAATTTAAAGGTCGCATTCAGAGATATGAAAAATTATTACTATTAACATATTTGTATTACAAATAATTAAAGAAATAAATTGTGAGAAAACTTTATACAAATGTCAGCATATTTGAAAAAATGTGAGAGCGTACTCTGGAAAACTCATTGATTCTGATCCATTCCCAGTTTTTGCACACCGAGCGCCATCCCTCCAAACATATTGAAATCATCATTCTCCGAGTTTTTCAATGGAACCAACTCTTTGAGACTCTCAGAATTTCCATGTGTTATTGCAATAACGGATGTTCCTAGAAAACAAGTTTCCGTAGAAAAGTGAGAGAAAAAAGTCTTGAAAAATGTTAACCTGAATTTTAACGTACCGTTTATAGTTCCCAACGATGTGTGTTCTACAGGAAAACTATGAAAAACACTAGCCAAAAATAACAAGGAATACATGACAACCAATACAAAGTTTTGATGGTGCATCAGTTTTCGAATCGTAATGAAACTTCAATTTTGAAGTTTGTCTCTTTAACTAATGATATCAGAAATCATCGCTGGTCAGTCAGTCACGCACGACGTACCGACACACTACGCCTTTTTTAGTATAAACGAAACGGCGCCAGTTTGGTTAACCAATTAGCGAGATCTCTTTTTTAATACTGTCAAAGGACACCAACAATTTTTTGAGAGTGCTGTTTTTAGAACCATTCAAGTTGATGAAAATAAAATCAAGGCGACAGGTTGATTAGTTTGTATTTGGGAACCGACTCATTAGAAACATATGGTGAAAAAATAAATTATGTACGAGTCATGTACGTAGGCAAAAAATAGTGAGGATGGCAAAAATACAAATATATCACAGTCCGATTCACAAAATAAATAAAATGGAATGATTTGAAGATCATGGTTTATACTGCTTTTGTAGATTTAGCATGATGCTCAGAGAACTCATCCAGGAACCTGAAAGTTAAGAATTTGGAAATTGTTGTTTGTAATAGATGATTGAAGAATCATCAAGCATGTTTCGTTTCAAATTTGTGCGAAATTCTATTATTCATTTTTTTTTATTGGAAATCAGTATTGTGGAAAATCTAAAACAGTACAGTCAATATCATGGTACGCTTCTTGAAACTTGAAATTGAAAATTCGTCGTTTTTAAAAAAAAAGGTACTTCCTCGCTAGGCCAATTGAAAAAAAAACAACTTTAAAAAACTTGTTTAAACTTTTCAAAAGGAACGAGATTTCTGAAATAAATTTATTGACTGCCTGTTTTTGACCTGTAATATGAATCAGCCTGTTATGGCCTATTTTTGTCGCGTTGACAAGTATACCAGAGAAAATTTTGAAAGAGTGGTTTAATGTTTAAAAACCAGAGTAATGTCGTTTATTGTCGGATTAAAAAAAGTGACACCTGAAAATCTCGGAGACGGCGCTCGTGTCGATTTACGAGGGGGCGGAGCAAAAACGGATACTGTAGATAATAAATTTATTTATGTGAATTTAGTGGGATTTTCTGAACAAAATTTTGACTTCTTGGTATAAAAATGATCGCTAGCATCTCTAGAATTTATTTTTCAGCAAAAAACTGAACTCAAACGCGAAAGTAGCTCGAACGAGCCGAAATTCTGAAATATTACGTTTTTGCCGCACTTTTTCGTAGATCAAAAAAACAAAAGTTTTCAAATTCTCAGGTGTCACTTTTTTTAATTCGACAATACTTACGATTTTGTGTTCAGCATGCAATTTCCGGCGAGAACTACAGCCGGGCCACCAAACCCTTGATCTCTTTTTTCGTTGAGGTTTCTGACGAACGCCGCTTCTTCATAAGTTGCTCCTCCAACGATAAATACTATGATATTGTCGTTGCGATCACTGATAAATGTTTTTCAATTTCAAAAGTGTCAACGCTTGTCACGTACCATTCATTACTCAACAATGGATAATTTTCTAATCTCCCACGCTGGCACATCTCCACAAGGGATTTGAGATATGGCGAGTGTTGAGTGTAAATGTTTTCAACACCTTTCAGTCCTTTGATGAATCTAAAATTATGAATTTTATGGGTAAATGGAAACTGCAAAAGACCTTTTAGTGATATCGATTGTTGATTGCCCTCCAAACAAGTCCGCAGGATGTCTTCCGGCTCCACCATACGAAAGCAATACTTTACATGTTTTCTCGATTTCCGATTTCAAACGCTGAATGTACATTATTGAGATCTAATTTGAATTTTTTGATTACCGGCGGCACTTGTTCGAAAAGTGACTTCAATTCGTTTGAGGATCCTTGAAACCGAAGAGCGTACAACAGAATCAGACGGAACATATCCTGTAATTTGCTCAAATTGTGAAAACAACAAGGAGTATAAAAACCAGCATGACCAGGTATACTAATAACTATCAGATCAAAAAATTGTTGTATAAATATTATTCGAATCAACGTTTACTAACCACATCTCTTGTTTTGGAATTTTTCAACAGCGACCGAATTTTGTTGATACATTTGTTGTGGTCCCCGTCCGACACAATTGTTTGTTCCAGCTGAAAAATGGTTAGTTTTTATAGTAGCCTTCTTCATTGCTCTATTTTATGACTGTTACTGAACTAAGAAGCGCCTGTCACCAAAAACAAGACAAAGAAAGGAAAATCTCAGTTACCTCAGAAATCTCCAACAAATTGTGTTTTTGAATAAGACTACTAAGTTCTCCAACCAAGCTGACGTGCTTCGACACTGTACCACTGATTTTTTTGAACTGAGGATAATCCTCCACGAATTTCTTCATATCTTGAATCGACTCTAAGTTTTTGTTGATATGCTTTTTTTCTTGGAATTCGCTAATCAATGTCTTGATATTTTGACCGATCTCTCCAAAATTAGAAGTGATGTTTTTGGCAAAGAAATCATCATGTAATTCACTGAGAACAACGCTCTGGTCCGCACACGTGCAACGATTATTTGTCAGGGCGAGCATCTCGTGGATCATAGCTTCATAAGTCCATTGGTTGAGTAGCGGCGTTGCAATGTCTTGAAAACGTTCGATCACTAGGAGTGTAGTATCTCGTTTTGCGTTTTCGAAGAGACCATTCTCTCGACGAATAAATTGGGCAACCTCATCAGCAATTTTTTGGCAGTTCGGAGAGTTTTTCTGATATCTATAATCTTATCACAATGATCTGAAATCTGAATAAAATCAATAAAACTAACCTCACAGCAGGATTTTTGCGCATCTGTAATAGCAAAGCAATGATTCCAGACTTGATTCTATCCGCCGCATAGTCCTTAACTTCAAACTTTAAATCGAAAATGTGATAAAGATTGAGGGTGAAAAGATCCTTTCGCAGGGGAATCCCATCTAGAAACAGTTCTTGAACTTCTCGCACGGTCTCATTCTTGTCGGATTCTGCCAATCGTTTAACGTCGAATTTGTTCACAGTGTTGGTGAAATCTAAACAACGATTCGTCATTTTAGTTGTTTCTGTGCAAAAACTAACAGAGATAGTACTGGCTGAATCGCGGCTCCTGAAGTTCTTTGACCAAACGATCGATGTTTTCAGCTGTAGGACGAACAAAGACAACGCATTTCAGATTTTTAATGTTTTCCGCTGAAGATCTGTTTTCGATTCTGTCGAAAATGTACACTTCTTTTTGCATGACTTCTGACTGAGCGAAGGCGCATGAAACGGTTGGAGTCTGTAAAATTGTCCATGAACTTTTCAAACGTTTTTGAAACACACCGTTTCCGCGTCCATGAGAAGCAATTTCATTTGTGAACCGGCTAACTGAATCATGTCCTGTATGAGTTTCCGGCTTGAATGTACGAGATCCATTGCTGTATCACGAAAAATGATGTTCAACTATATAGAATGATGACGTTTCTAACAAGATGGAAGAGGAAATTGCAAACCTTCGGCCGTCAACTAGCGACCCCCAGCCGCCTTCCTTTCCCCAGCCCCTAGCCAGCCAACTTTGTCTCGTTTCTTTTCCCTCTCTAACTATTTCCTCGAGGCCAATGCATTAGGAAGAAATGGTGGGGAGGGAGGAAGGCAGCAGTAGTGTGTGTATGCGCGGCTGTGGTCGTATCTCGCAAAATGTGCGATGCAGAGGACGACGAGTCGGCGGAGAGGCCTCTTAATGCGAAATGAAAGAAATAGTGTGTGTGCAGAGAGATGAAAAAGAGAAAGAGCGAGACGAGGAAAAGTAGTGTGTTTGCGCGCATCTAAGATTTACCAACCAAACGGCAGACGAGAGACTGATGGAAACAAAAAAAAATGTATGTAGAAGCCGTTTGGTGCGCTGTTTTCTCTTTTTCGCTTAACAAAATCAACGATGAAAGAAAAAGAAATCTCGAGAAAGATGTAAAATGAGAGAGAGAGAGAAAGAGCGGAAGGCCGGTCACAAAATAATTCGCAAATTTAATTTATCGTCTTTATTTCACAAAAAAATATGACTTTCATTTTTTGATATTGTAATGCATTTTTGCAAAAAAAACCTAATGAATTGAACACTAAATAAAAAGAATTTTGAGTATAGTATACATATTAATGATAATCATGGAAAATCAGATTTCCCCATTGCGATAAAAGTTTCTCGACCATTCCACGAGCGTTTGGATCGGCAGACTCCATGAATGCAGTATGTCCTCCGTGATTTGTAATTATACCAACAACATGGTCGCTATTCATGATGTCTCCAGTGGGAATACCTGTAATCAACAAATTTGACTAGTTCGCGCTTTTTTAGCTACCTACATTGCACTGGGCTAAAATAATCGTCGACAGAGTTTAATGTGACGCATGGAATTTTTATTTTGTCAACTTTTGTAGCTAGAGTAGCCATTTTGTAATAAGCCTCATAACTTTCGAACCCGTACATTGGCGTAACAAATGATTTATCAAACCCTCTGACTGTTGTACTGCTGATAACTTCATCGAAATCAACCATATCTTTGAATAGTTCTCGGTACCTGAAAAAATAAGGAAAGAATACTCCATCATTGCCACTTTCAAAAAACTCACGGTCTCACAATGTCTACTAAATTTTTTGCAATGAATCTGTTGAAGATTAACTGTGGAATGAAACATTCAATCGAATCTGAAGCGACCATTGGGTCCCATGGAGAGGAAACGATCATGCCGCCATCAAGGTCTGCTTGTTCGCCAGACATAGCAAGATAATTCCACAGTATCATTCTTAATATTCAAAAAAATTGTTTCATCAACCGTTCCTTATTTTTTGAATCTCACCCTCCCATTGAAAAGCCACATCCTAGCTTTCTAGCTTCAGGGTATCTTTCATTCACCATTTTAGCGATATATGCAAAATCATGAGGAGTAGCTGCGTTGTATGTTCGAGTAGTTCTGAGTTTAACACCACCTAGCCCGCGAGGATTCACAACCAAACACTTCCATCCTTTGTCTCTAGCTTCTTTTACTGGATGAAGTACATAACTGCTGTCATGGGTGCTTCCGGTGATACCAGGCAAAAATATTACGATTGGTGTAGTATCATCGGAACCTTCAGGTATGAGCCAGTCGATTCCAGCGGCGCCTCCATCTTCAAACTCCACAATTTCTCTGAAAACTCATATCTTCAAACATCGAACATAATGATCTAACCCAAAACAACTTACCTTTGGAACGGTAGCTCTGGACAGTCGCGGAAGATTTGACGAACAATAGTTTGCGTCGTTCCAAATGGACACCACCAGCTGGGATGATATTTCTGTCAGGTTTAAAGACCATGTGTGCCCGGAAAATAAAAAAAAACGTACTTGCTGGAGTATTCTCAAATTGGTAGTTACTTTCTTTTCCAGTTTTGTGCCAGATTTGACAAAATGCTTGGGCACCTGCAACACTAACGTTTTCAAATAAATTTTTTCCAGGAACTAACTGCTGAAATATACCAAGAATAAAGCCACAAAAATATCGGAGTAATTATTCCCAACACCAAGATCAATGCAAACGCCATGTTACCCTGAAAATGAATAACTTACCAATATATTCCGAATGAATGAAAATGGAAATAAGATATTCACGAGTAATCTCCTGTATTGTTAAATTTAACATTAAAAAATGTTAATTTAGTACAAAGTAGCATCTAAATTAAAAAAAAGCTTAAAGCTCCCAAAAATTTTGTTGAAAGAGAAAGAAACAAGAATTAGTTATTTACTCAAAAAAAACCCAAACTGATTCTTGCATGCACTCACAAAAAAAGACACTCATCTACTTTACATTTTTCATCGAAATTGATGGTGCAACAAAATAGTCGGAGATAAGATAACGCACATAGAACGATCGCGTGAGACTAATTGCTTCACAGGTACACCAAATTACAAGAAAACAGTTCACGTGCGTAAATGGTAACAAGGCTTAATACCTTGAATCTCTTGTGATAAGCGTAATAGTCAAAGTCGAAACAAACTTTTTGACAGGTCATTAAACGTTTGATAAAGACGTTAAATAGGCAATGACAAGAAAAGATAACGTAGAATATGGGATGATTTTGAGGCGGAGGAAGAAACAATTTCCATTTTGCCCCAAACAAAGTTCGTGAGAGTTCGAGATATCAACTATAGCCCTTTTTTGCAAAGATAGTGAAATTTGAAAATGATAACAGCATAAACTTGAATGAACGAAACTTTCTAGAAATGCGATAAATAGAAAGTTATCTGTTTAATTTTGAAGTGTTAAAAAAAACCCAAAATTTTTCTCAGCTTTTCGAGTATTAAATGTAAGAATGTACAGTTTTCTGCAAATTTCCTATTCCTAATACTCGACATTGTCGCATTAGAAATAAAAACTTGGAAACAAGTTTTCAGTCTATTGTTGTATTGGAGAATCCAAGCAGGAATTGCTTCAATTTTGGAGCTTGTTTGAAAAAAGCACAGCAACGCTTTGCGTGGCCGCGGATTGCAAATGTTCGGCCACTGTCAGTTTTCGCACAGCGTTGCCTATGAGGTCATCTCTCACTAGAAAACGTTATGATTGCAAAACTGAAAACTGAGAAAGTTTGAAAAAAATGACATAATGTTCTTTAAAAATGGTAATAGCTTCAAAACTTTAAAAAGTATCAACCTCCGGGAAATTTTGATTTGAAAAAATTTACAGTATTTGCAACTGAAAAAGACCGTTTCGGTTTTTTTATTTTCTACGAGATCGTGCTAAAATGCTAAACTTTATATGTACAATATCAAGAATACAGCTTTCGGATTGCAAAGTTATTTAAGCTGGACAAAACTCTGACAAAGATAAGACAAGCTTCCAACACAGCCCTGATTTTGCAAGTATGCTTTCAATTTCTAAACAGGATCTGACTATATATAGGTTGTTATATAGATGTTGTTTGGGTCACTTCTGTACAAAACTTTTCAAAAACCAGTTGTTACGAGCCATCACTTGAGTTATCGGATGCATTTGAACCTGAACATATGTTTTTAAAGTTGGGAATTCATTGTAGACAGGATATTCAGCTCCGAGGTAGGTTTTTCATAAGTTTCATTTTGAAAACAACTTAAAAGAAATACAGAAAAATAGAATGCCAATGTTTGACGTTTAAAAACTTACTACGGATTGTGTCTAACAATATACGCGTCATAATGATAGCACCACCCAATTTCAATTTCATCTCGAAAGTTTACCAAAGAGCAATGTTATTAACAGTTTATTCCCAAAACCCAAAACTTGACGAAAACGTCTGAAAACATCACTCAAAAATTGACACATCAATTTTTGTGTAAACTGTCAGAATATATTGTTTCAAGACTATTTTAACGATGTATAACAAACAATTCTCAAATTTTCCCTCTCTTGAAAACTTTATATTTTTCATTTTCAAGTGTAGTGCTATCGTATGACGCGTTGCGCAGTGAGACTTTTGGATACTGTAGTCCTAATACATTGAACTGCTTCTTGATTTTAGGGACACATAAGTTGTTTGTGATGCTGAATTGAATGGAATTGTCCGTTTTTCTCTAAGTTTTTCAGTTTTTCTGAGAATCTCAAATGGGGTGGTGCTATCATCATGACGCGCCCTGTACTTGGAATTCTGTTTTGCGTTACCCTCAAAGTCGTTGTTTTTCTGCATTTTCTCTGTGATAATGAAACAAGTTACTAATTGATTCAGTGTTGTGGCCCTTTGAATTGTTCTAAATTTTTTGCATCAATACAGTTACACTTGAATGATGGTGGTTCACTATTTTTTTCTCACAATTTTTAACCAAAAATGAGTATTTGTTGCCAATGTAGAAATTTATGAAAGCATACAAATTTTGCCCAAGGTCACGTTCCACGGCGTGAGTGTTCTTGTCTCACTGCTTTTGTCGACATCTTTGCATGCGTGTCGTCCCAATTCATATAAATTGTCTAGATTCCATCTATCTCTCTCTTTCTCTTTCTTTTTCCTCTCCTTTCATTTCTCCCTCCTTCTGACTCAACTACCTTGAAAATAGGCCATCGATGTATTGTACCGTCTATCTTGATTGTCTTTTCTCTTTCATGCGTCCTTTTTCCTACTATCCCTTTGGGGACTTTGTAGACACCGTTACGTTTTTTACTGCTTTGGATGAGTTTTCGTTTTAAAAAATGTTTCTTCTTGTTTTAATTGTTTATATGGTTTATCTTTGTAATTCCTTCCAATTTTACAGGTAATATATTAATAAGTGAACATGGGAATAGTCAAAGCGGCGTTAACATTCGACGCTATTTTTGCAGCTATCTCCGGAATAGCGTTATACCTTTTTCCGTCAAAGTTTGGAGACCTGTGTTTTGTATGTTTGCCAACAGGTTTTATACAAAATTCGTCGATATTTTCAGCAAAAAGAGACCGATGGAGTTCATTGGCATCTGATCAGATGTGTTGGAGGTCAGGTTTTTGCCTCATGCCTGGTTTCATTCAAATTTCGAGGATCCAGCACGACAAGCCAATCTGTTTGTCATTTCATCAGAATGATCGTGAGTTATATCCATTCGTGATAACGAAATTTTGAACACATTTATTTCAGCCGTCAATCCTCATTCTGATGCTTGTTTTCCAAATCCAATCAGTCACGCCCACGTTGATTGAAAGCACGGTTCGTAACGGATGTGGAAGAAAACGATAAAAGCAGTGTTTTCAGACACTCAAATTCTTCAAATACCTCATGATTTCAACGATTGCTCTTCATGTTACATTGCTCTCAATCGCTGGATGGAAAACAGGTATAAACCAAAAAAAGTTCTCCAGCTAGGTGGAGTAATTGTATGCCCAAAGCGATATATTGTTTCTTTTCTGAAATACAAACGGCTAGAATAAATGAATCAATAGCTTCCAACATCTTCTCATTGTGGTCAAAATTTCGTTACTAGACGAAATGAAAAAAACAATCTCTGAATTGTGTCATAAACAATTGAAGTTTTTTTTTAATTTCTGGTCATTATTTTTAAAATCTCAGGTCTAGCTGTTTTCAACAAAAATGGAATTATTGGAGAACTTTTGAGCAGTACTGTGCAATTTATTCAGGCACCAAACTGATTGCTGCAAACAAATTTGGAAATTTTCTTTATCAACTTGATGCTCTCGCTTCGATTTGCATCGGAACGTGCTGGATGACTTTCCCGAAGTGGCTGCTTCATCGACAGGTAGTTTTTGTCACACTTAGAAACAGATTGTCCAATTATTTAAGGTTCTTGTCGAACTGGACGAATCCCATGAGTTTCTTGGGAGAGTGATGGGTGCTAACTTTATTGCTTCCTACATTGTATCAACTCATGCGCTGCATTGGGAGACAAACGAAGACAGATATGCTGCTGTGGATGGACGTGTCATCTGCTGCCTTTCAATTCTTGGAGCACAAATCTGGTCACAAACTTACAAGCACTGGTCTGGAAACCATTGGGTTGGCATCAGTCTCTTCTCCACATGGACCGTTATCTCCTTGATCTACAGGTCTTGTTTGACGTTCGCCAAAAATCATGTGCAAAAGAAAAGTGAATAAATGCATAGTAGATTTCCAATGTTTTCGTCCCCATGATTCGTGTAAGAAGCATTTTAACTATTCTTTTTTTCCCAGATAAATACATTCATACAAATCGTTTCACAAATAAATAAGACACAAAATACAGATGTTACACTTAAACATGCGAACAAATATGATTGTCTGAAAAATATCTATATTATCCGTGATATGGATAATGCAATGTTGACAACGGGATCTAATGAATCATGGGAGAAATTTTCAGTAAAAATTTAGTGACGTCTGCAATGTAACCTCGCGAATCTCATGAGAACACTGCGACTTTCGGCGATAAATTCTTGTTCAGGTGACGCAAGAGGAGCTGCTTCGTCGCATCTTGATCTACTACTTCCAGAGTTGCTGGAGCGTCTGAAACCATGTAGCATCTATGATTATACTTTTTTTTAATAATTTCAGAACTTTCCTTTATTGAAAGTTGATCATTATCATCTACGGAAACACTTTTTCCTAGTTCTAACAACTTTAGAAACCCTCTTTTCCAAAAAAGGCATTGTTCGATGCAGCAAAATTTCACTGTTCAATTAGAAGATGTCCATTTTGCATCTTCTGCAAATTCACAATATTGATGAAACCATTATCAAAAAAAAAGCCGTGAACACTCTAATTGATTTGCACCCTACTTGAAGTGTACGTCCAAATGTGATGCTCCTTCAATAATGTTCCCACTAATTGCAGGTGATTTTTTCAATTTTTTTTCTTTCTACATATTATACAATCAGGCAAAATTTTGAGTTCGTCTTTTTCCTATAGTTTATAAACCCAATTGATGAAACATTTCACAAAAATTCTTAGACGAATGGAGAAGTAAAAGTTGTTCAAATGGTTGTGTTAATGCAATTTTTCCTCAGTTGGACACAAATGAGAACATACCTATTTGTTGAGTTTTTGTGCTGTGGTTCTTTCCTGTGAGTCGAATTATGGTTGTGGTGTGGCTTGTAGAGCATTTGAGCCTGAATCATCATTATGATGAAGAAAATACGTTAGTTTGGTTAGTATTTTCTCATACACAAATTTTTTTTACCCTTCCGTGACGCTAAATTCAACAAGCACAAATTGCACACAATCACAACTCAACCGAAACATTTTTAATTTAAAAAATTTACTATTAGTTTCAGATTGTCAAAAGCTGAACTCAAGGAACATACCAAATAAAAAAGACATTGAAATTACGACAAAGCCAAGCCAAGTACTAAAAGTTTGAGAAAAGGGGAGTGGGGGGGGGGGGGGGGTGAGACCATAAAAATATAAACATTTATGAACGCATTATTTAAAATGATTTTTAGATATTGTGTCGTGAAAAAGTAAAAGGCAATGAGTTGAATATAAGGACATAAAGGGGGATGGGGGAGGGGTAAAGATTCAAAGAAAAGCATCGCCTTCCTCATCTGAATCTGCGGCAGTGTTATCTGGAGTCGTTTTCCCGTGATGCGGATCGCCGAGTGTCGATGGCACACCGAGCGGCCCCGATAGCGGGTCGGATGTCTCCGGGTGCGGCTGTGTAAGGCAAATTGTGGTAGCGGTGCCACCTCGACGTGATTTTTTGGCTTTTTTCAACATTTGCGCCTGCAAATTAGACTCAATTGATACTGCACTGAAGCGAAGCATAAATAATGTTTGTGAAAGAAACGGGAATGAAAAGGGGATAAATTCGATACTTGCGTCAATTCCTCATATATTTTTAAACAGAAAAGTGGAAAACTTATATACCATTCCGGTTATTCTCATTATATTACAGACTTATATTGTGGAAATGTGTGAGAATGTGACATATGCAGCGCAAATTAAAAGTTTGGAAGATCACGGGTTCACATCAATAAAATTGAAAATAAAACAATATCAGCACGCCATTGGGACAGGAGCGACAGCAAAAATATTAAATTTTAACTCAAAGAACATATTCCCAACCTAATTTTCTACAACATTTTCCCCCTGTTCGAAACCGAAATCCGCGTCATGTGGTTGTTATGTTCAACTAAAAATGGTAACATTATATAGAAAAATCAAGAAACACGTATCGGGTTGAATTTTAAATTAACCTATTCAAGCGTAGTAAAGCTAAAAAAGTATATTCCATTTTAAGAAAGTTGACTACTTTTCCCGATCATTTAGTTGTTATTTCTGAAAGTTTGAAATACGATATCGTACTTTTTGGCTTATTGTCTAGTTGTTGTTATTATCTATAACTTTTTTTTTCAGAAATTAGAAATGATATGTAAACCGTAACTATTTTACCAGGAAAATATATTTTGGCATTTATTGAGGATTTTATTGCCTTTTTCAGCGACTTTTCTGTTTTTTTGGGATACACTAAACTATTTGATAGACAGACGTCCTTATCGTTGGTTTTGATCACATTTCTCTCATGTTCCGTAAAATTTATCAAAAAAGTCAACTGAGAAATCATTCATCATAATGCCAAATACATTTTGTCAGTCAAAAGTTTTTCATTTTCTCACAGAAACTCAGATAAATTACGTCAAAGCTAACCTTTCTATTACAGGCATTTTGGTTAGTATAGTTTTGCGGTTTATTGAATGCCTTTTGAAAAGAAACTAATGATAAACCTGTTAGGAGTTACTGTTCGCGTTGAAGTCACACAACTTTTTTGTGCTGAATAAATTATGAATTTCAATTATATTTATGTCCCAAGAAACATCAAACACATTTTATAACGTTATCATGCAAAAATTTGCCCTTCTTGACTATTATCATCGTGCTTTTTTCGAGCGACCTTTTCAATCAACCTTCTGTAAGACAAACATACTTTCAATGCTGATTTCAGAATGGTTATAGTGCCTGGTGGTTGAATGTGTGGTTCTCCGTCTACTTGTACTGGCCATTCTTCGTGTGTTGTGATGCGAATCTGCATTTTTCGAAGTAATTATTATTGAACATTTTATGAACAAAGAACTTACACTTCCTCCTTGCGCTATCCGAATGCCAGCAGCAAGTTTGGACTGAATAAGGCCTAAGCGAGATACATCGGAAATACCAACAACCTAAACAAAAACATTCACGGCTGAACAAAAATTAAAAAATCACTTCTAGCAGCCCATCATAATGAGTTGGCTTTGAAAAGTTGCCTTCTTCTTTTGATGTTCCCCATGGATTGGCTCCACTTCCCCAACTGAGCAAATTGAGTACTACGATTCCCTCAATATTTGGAAGCTCAATAGTGCGACCGTCCACCTGAAAATAAGCACAATTACATTTCAAGAGAAAGCTTATTGGCATACCTCTAATTCTATACGTTTCCAAAGATCCTTGCATGTCCTCTCGAAGAACATTTTTTGGAGACCAATTTTCGCATATTGGGTCTTGTTGAATAGACGTGATTGGAACTTTTCTGGGTTAGCATCACGCTGAAATGAACCAACAATTTTAGGAAGTTAAAAACAATTAAAGAAAACCTTATTATGGAATTTCAAACAAACATCAGCATCGATTCCGATTCCAAAGTAGTTGTTCATGATAATCATGGATGTTTGATCTTCCGGATTGTTCATTGTTTGCTCACTCATCTCTGTTTGTGTTCCAGAAGACGTTGGTTGATTCCGTTCTTCCTCATGGAACACCACCGCCCATCTGTCGAGTTTCACAGTGTCTGCCTCGATGACATCTTTCAAAATGTCCATGGGGTTCTCTTCACCCGTATATCCACCGCCCCAACGAAGTACTCGCGCCAAATCATTTCCTGTTCCAAGCGGGACAATTCCACATGGCGGTGAAAAGCAAGCCGCGTCCTAAAAGTGACTGGAATGTTTGTGAAGAAGACAAGAGTTCATCATTCCTCTTATTTCTTCAAAATTCTACACTACATATCAGTTATATTGTTAACGGAGTTTTGAATATTAAAGGAGGTTTTCAAAAGGTATAGGGTCATGTTTTGGGAAATCTCCAAACTGCCCCCAATTTCAAAAATTTCAGACTTTCCGTGAATCAAAATTTCATGATTTTTAAACAACTTATTGTTCAGTGAATCATAATTGTATTTCTTAGAATTTCAGAAATCATGAAGATCGATAGTTTGGTGATTTAGAAACCCGAAACTAAATTTTAAAGTGATCCAGTTATTTTTTCAGTTACGGCAAAGAACTGCAATTAACTAATGCAGAGCACACGAAGACAAATAGGTTGTTTCCCCATCTCTTCAGAAAAATTGTGATTTGAAAAAATGGTATTAATGATAAAAAGGTACCGAAAAAGAAAGAACTGGTTTTTAAAAGGGATGCATCGAAGGAAACAAGAGAAAAAAGAGACTGCAGCACTTTGCGAATAGCTTGGAATATTCCCAACCATGACCCTGACATCTTCCAAAAACCCCCCTTAGCTTTCAAAACCCACGTTTATTATTTAAATCCTCTTTTATTTTTCAAAACCACTTCTATACTGCTCCACATAAATATACGTTTAGAGCGAATTCCAAATGAGAATGAGCAATATTTTTATTTTCATTTTTTCAATTTTTTGACTTTTGCGGTTCCACATAAATATACGTTCACCCCCATTTTCCCATGTTTCAGCACCATACTCTTGAATTTTAAACTTTTTGTATTCCCTTCGACTGTTCAAACGATGTGACGTAAAAAACCACTAACTGATTTCGAAAAAGGTCAAATTACAGCCAAAAATGCCTAAAACTTTTCAGACTGTCAGATTGCTCAGAATTTAGGAAGATCCTCGGACGTGGTCAATCGATTTTACAAGAATTCGTTAAATTACGGTACAAAGAACTTTTCCGGACGTCATTCTCTCCTTACAGTCCGAGAAAAACGTCAAATCCTATGAAAAGCGCTCAATGTTGTGACCAGTTGTTCCAAAATCAATGAGACAGTTTGACGCGTCATCCAGAAAAACAAGTTCATCAATTATCAAAAGATGAAAGAAGCACTTATGCTGACATCAATCCATCCCCAAATGTTCAGCACAGTTTCAAATTTTCTTTTGTGACGAGAAAAATATCAACTGTGATGGTCCAGACGGCTACAACTTTTATTGGCGTGATTTGAGAAAAGATAAACATTGATTTTCGAGACGCAGTGTCAGAGGAGGTAAATGCGAGCAAACTCCAGACGTTTTAGGGGATGGATTAATGTCAGCATAAGTGCTTCTTTCATATTTTGATAATTGATGAACTTGCTTTTCTGGATGACACGTCAAACTGTCTCATTCGATACAGTAAGCTTCAAACGACTCTTGATTTTGGAACAACTGGTCACAACATTGAGCGCTTTTCATAGGATTTGACGTTTTTCTCGGACTGTAAGGAGAGAATGACTTCCGGAAAAGTTCATTGTAACGTAACTTAACGAATTTTTGACAAATCGATTGACCACGTCCGAGGATCTTCCTAAATTCTGAGCAATCTGACAGTCTGAAAAATTTTGGGCATTTTTGGCTGTAATTTGACCTTTTTCGAAATCAGTTAGTGGTTTTTTACGTCACATCGTTTGAACAGTCGAAGGGAATACAAAAAGTTTAAAATTCAAGAGTATGGTGCTGAAACATGGGAAAATGGGGGTTATGTGGAACCGCAAAAGTCAAAAAAATGAAAAATGAAAATAAAAATATTGCTCATTCTCATTTGGATTTTGCTTTGGGTCCCAAAAGTCTTTCATATCGTACTCTTTTTAACCTCCGGTCGATATTTTTTAGAAACTGCAAATTTGGGGTTTTCGCCATTTTTCATGGGTGAACGTATATTTATGTGGAGCAGTATATTCTATAAACGCCCGTTAAATCATAAAGAGCCGAAACTTCAACGAATTTCTCCAACTTGCCTGTTTAGCAATGTCCAAACATTGCAGGACCCAACCAATAGTTCCATCTCCACCGCACGCGAGAATTTTGTATTTGGGAATGTTGCGGAACACATAAAGTCCAACAAGAGGACCACCATTCAACACATCAAACACTTGGAATGGATTTAACAACTTTCTGAACGATTGGATTAGCTCGGTTCCTTGACAACCTCCGGATTTCACATTGACCAACACCAAGAGTGGTTCGACATCTTTAGGAATCATCTGTGGCTGCACGTTGGGCAAACACAGGACGATCAACTTTTTATCCTCGTAAATAGCCGATTGAAGTTTCTGAACAGCTGCAGTGGCTGCCTTTGGAGTGTTGAACGTAATAATTAAACTCCCGTATTCGAAATAGATCGGTCCAATCGCGGTGAATGGTTTTTCTGCGAAATAAATATAAATTTTGTGATATTTCACAATTTGACGGTTACCTTTAGCGCCTAATAACTTCAATAAAATTCTTTCATATTGTCGCTGTGCGAGGGAAACCGGTAGGTTTCCAACAAAAACGGCATGATCATGTGGGTCTTCCTTTTCTTGAACGTAGAATCGGACCACATGATAACGACGGAGGGAATCCTAAAATCATTGAGTTTATGTCTTGCCACACTTTGGAAGTTAATTTACCTTTCTCAAATTTCGAACTAATTGAAGAACATTTTCCTGAGGATTGCAGGTTCTCTCAGCTACTCCTCGGTCAAGAGAAACTTCAATGAGGTTGTATCTATTCCAGTATGCCCCATCAAGCCCAAAATGATAAAGGGCTTCGGTAATAAGATCTTGTACAATTGTATCTTTGCTAACTGAGATTCCACAGAATGTCACCGGAACCTTGCGCAACCATCCACCATATACTTTTACTTCATCTTTGTCCGGATCATCGTAATATCTTATAAATATTTGGGCTCGCTTCCCTTCCGGACGCTTCACATTTCTCAAAGGTACTGGGTCCTCGAGTATTTCCTCTTCTACTGCAAATGAATCATTCTCGTTGCAGTGACTCTCTTGTTTCTTCTAATCTTACCCTCGCCAACCACTTGTGTAATATAATATCTTTCTGGGGTGTCGTTGATGTGGAACCGCCGTAGAGCAGCATCGCGAACTTGTTGCACGGATACATGCTTAGCCACAACGATATTGCGCGAAATCTGAACTTCACGGCGTGACAAGGCAGATAAGAACGAATATTTGTTGTTTAAAAATATTTTCCATGAACAAGAAAAAATCACCAAATGAACAACTATCCCGGTTTTGCTCAAGAGTCTTACCTGCAGTCGATATGAGTTGTTCCCGTCAAAAACTCTAATTATCTCAAAATCGTCCCGTTCTTTGACGTCCTCACCAGAAGTCGAGACGTCATCCACTTGAATTTTGGATGGCGACGATACTGAATACATTCATATAGATATTATATGAGGAACTGAAAGAGTAGGGATGGGATAGTGGATTGATGGGAAAGTAAAAAAACAGAGATATGAAAAAGGACAGGAGGAAAAACAAAATACTCTTTTAAGAAGAGGGAAACTAAACTATCCCACTCCAGTCGGCTGTGGAAGTTAAATTTTTTTTTTTTTAAGAGAACCGACAGACAGGATAGTAAAAAATCTGACCCTTACGAGACTGGGGCTGATCATGCGATGAAATGTTCAATAGTTGCTCCATTGGTAGCTCCGTTCGAGGAATTGTCAAACACATGGGCGGAAGCATAATTTTTCGAAGTACTCCAAAATCACATTCTTTGTCCATTTGTCGATAGCAAACCGCATGAGCCTGGAATCTTGCCAAATTTTTCGTATTTTGGTTTTTTGCGCTTACGGTCTGACCGCACCATTCGCATCTCATTCCAGCAAGGCACTCGGTCGAAAAACACGTTTTTCGGCAAACCACACATTTTGACTCTTTCGGCAAGTTACCTTCTCTCATATGATGATATTGTACTGTGTTCGCCTGAGAATGCCGAATATATAATTGATAAGTGGTCTCATGACATACACTTTCCATATTTGCTACATATGTGGCTGCTTCTTTACAATCAGATACCGCAAGATCCGAGCAATCGACATGAACATAATACTCGCACACTTAAAGTAATGTGTTCTTTTACTTTTTTTAATAAATACATTTTCATACCTTCACACTCCACTGACATCGCCTCGTCGGTTCGTTTCCGACATACACAGCAATACCTTCTCTTAATCAAACATGGTGCGGACCATGTATGTGCTACTGGATTCTTGATTAGTTGCAACGCAACACTGCTACAGTAGGACACCACCGTTCGAAGACATTTTTCATGACATATGAAGTTGCACACTAAAAACGCAAATGTATTCCGGCTACACAACCAACACTAATTTTTAAAAATAATATTGATTGAGTAGAAGTGCTGACGAGTTCAAACACTTATAAGATAATTAACTATGCTATCGGTGGATATATGTTGAATAATACTTAACAACTCACTCTCGCAACTGTAACCAGTTGTCAGCATGCCCCATATCTTATCACAACAGTGATGACAATAAGTTGGCTTCCCAAAAGTCTTCTTCACAAAATAGTGACCATGATTGGGTCGCATGTCCACCAAGTTAGCATCGACATTATGCCCCTCAGCTGCCATCTGCAATCGAACAACTTTTTCATGCCATTAGTAAGACATTATGCACGCATTTCCCCTTTTTTTGACATGCAAACTGCAAAACAGCAAAGCGCGATTGTGCGCCGCCAAAATTTGTTTGAAGAATTTTGTTTTAAAAAACCGGGTTTCAGTGAAATTTTATAAAAATTCCGTCATGTTATTGTTTTCCTTAGGAATGTGTGTTAGTTTTAAACATTCATTTTAAGTTCAAAAATGGCGAGTTTCAAAAAAAAATGAAAAAGCATACACAGATTGTCTATTTCGCTTTAAAAAAAGAAATTGGAATTTTTCGAAAAATGCTAAACTGTTTATCAAAATAAAGACTCCAACTGTCATTCAATTTTGACAAATAACGTATTGTAGCGGATCGTTGAATCTTTCAAAAAGCGGTTTAGAAATTTTAGAAATATAACTTGAAGTATAAACCTGTAATCAGTGCTCGGAGGGATGAAGATGTACAGAAAAGAGTGTAATTTTCACTAAAATTGCCCTTCAATGCGATATAACCAGTTAATTTTCCGTATGCTCATTTGCATCTGGCATCAAGATAACTTACAGCAGAATCGTGGTGTTTCTTCTTGTCAAAACGCTTTTAAGTTAGCATGAGTACATTTTATTCGCACCCAAACAGGAATAATTCCGATAAAGAAAATTCAGTTTGAGCAGGCTATCTGCAATTAGATGTAAGACTGAAATGTGAGCATTACAAGTATTCGATTCGGATAAGGAAAACACAAAAAAGTTTTGAATAGTTCAGAACGAGCAGTGAGATACAACGGTCAAGTTTTTGATGCGAGCCTAATTCTATTTTCTGACACTCTCCCAACAACTCCCAAGTTCGGGGAATTGTCCGCATGCAAATTACCATAATTTTATACATTTTCAGAGAGAAAAAGGATCGAAAAAGAGCGGCAATATGAATAGGAAATGAGAAAATGTTGAGAGCGTGTAGATATTTGAGAGGATGATGGGAACTCGAATGGAAAATTGAATTTTTTCATTTGGCGTAAGTTAAGCATTTATTTGTCATTCGTCGAACGATTTGACTCAATTTAGAATGATTATCGTAGATGAAAAACTATGACCATAGAAATGAAACAGAATAGTATAATAATAAAGATAAGCATGAAGTATTTATGCCGTCCAAGAAAATGGGCTACGGTATCTTTTTACTTTCAATGAGTCGGAAAGTCTTGAATGAAGGCGCTTTCAGAAAATGTATCCGACGGAGAAAAAGTACCTTTTGTGAGAAAAATTATAAATTCAAGCTAGTGTGGAGGGTATTTATTTTGAGGAAGAAAAAATCAGTACATTTTCATCATGAAACTTTCGCGTTTGTTTGAAATGCCGCATGAGTTCCTGGAATTTTCTTTCATACCTTTATAATTGGATGAAAAATTCAAACTTGTAATTGAACTCTGAGAAATCAGCAGCGTTTTTAACTTGTAAATTTGTGTAAAAAATCTTCTCAAAAATGGAAAAGAAAGAACTGAATAGACTGGAAATTGGAAGAACCTAGAAAAATTGAAACCAAAAAAGGATCAGAACTGGAAAATGGCCGAGATGAGGAATAAGATGAAAAACTTAAACTGTGAAAAAAAAATCTCTCGCCAATGTGTGGGACTTTGGTCTTAGTGAAGAAAAAGAGCAAAAGTAAAGCTCCTCGCGCATTTTGGCTAATCATTCAGAAGTCAGAAACTGCTAATTTCTTTCGTGCTAAATGAAAATGTTTCAGCTTGCTTTTTTGCCTGTGAATGTGCGTCACCAAAAAGCTGGCCCATTTCAATAAACACTTGTAGAGGATTGGAAGCTCTTTGCACTTTTCTTTTTTCTGCTCCAATGAATTTTTAATTTCGTGTACTGCGCAAAAAATACAGAGAAAAGTTTCAGAGTAACAATGTTATAAGGAAAAAAGTGAGGGGGAGAAGAAGAAGTCTTTTAAGGGCTCTTAGTTCCAGCTCAGCACAATTCTTCCTCAATGTTTAAGTGCTTCTTGTCCCTATCAAAACTATAGGTACGTGTACGATGAGAATTAGAGAACAACTTATAAAAAAAAACTTCTGTGGTAGTGTGGTGGCAAAGAGGGGCGAAGAGGCAACATCACACAAGCGTAAACAACAAAATGACAACGAAATACGCCTTCAGCGGCAGTAGCCGCGGCACAGCAGTACTGAACCATGGAGCACGATGTCAGCTCTCAGCCAGTGCTCCGTGGCCGCACCCTTCTTTCTCTTCTTTTTCTTTTCTCCTTCGTTTTCCTTCTTTTTTCCTTTTCATCTTCTTCTTCTTTTTCCATTTTTTTTCCTTTTATCTTCTTCTTTTTTTTTCTTCGGCTCCGTCTTTGCCTTTTTCTTCGTCTTCGACTTTTTTCGTTCCCAGTTTTCTGTGCTGGTATCCAGTTCTTTCCCCACTCCCTATTTCATCCTAAACGCTAGAGAAAACGGAGACAAAAAGTCACATAGAAGGAAGAGAAAAAGAAGGAGACGGGAAGAAGAGAGAATAAGCGAGAGAGAGAGGGAGAGAGAGAGAGAGAGAGAGAGAGAGAAAGTGGATGGCAGGGAGCAACCGGAGGAAGCAATCTAACATCTCCGTCTATAGCGTGTTATTTTATCTGCATTGGACGAGCTGACTGGGACGGCTGATGTGATGTCTCGCTGGACTCGAGGAGACGGAGTCCAATGCCGGCCACCCCCCCCCCCTTTCACCATGTTGTTGCCTATATCTGTGCTTGAAGCATCAAGTGAAATGTGCGCAAAAGACTACGAAAAATTGAGTGGAGGCATGGAAAAGGGAGAGAGAGAGAAGGAAGTGGAAAATATCTTTGATGCAAGTCTTCGCCTAACGGGGCACATAGGAAACGGGAAAAAACCGGGAGAAGAAAACTCAACGAATAGAAATAAGAAATTTTTCCCACGTCCCTCTTTCTAGTCCTCCTCTCCATCCTTCTCCCTCTCTCTCCCTCTCTCTCTCTCTCTCTCTCTCTCTCTTCTATTTCCCTGGTCATTCTTCAGAATCGAATAGAAGAGTTGGTAGAGGAACCGGGACTAAGAAAAAGAAAATTGTGAAAGGACTAGTTAGTCGATTCTCAGTCACAACGAATTTGGTGGAAAATACGCTTTCTTTTCGCAGTTTTCCAAGTGATATATAGGATACTGAAAACGGGTTGGAGGGATGTTTACTTTTTTTGAGCTGGGGTGAGAACGTTAACAACCACAACCGCGACTAGCTTGATTAATGCGAAATAGAATCAGCTTGCTTCTGAGCCGTCAAAAAGAGCTTAAATGTGAATTTCTCAAGCAAATGGAAATGGTAATGGGATGACGAAAAAACGCATAGAAGCATGATGAATTTAAAACGAATAATTGAAGATAATCAAAAAATTAACAGAAAGGGAGTATATGAGAAACGAGTACCACTTATGACTGGGATCATTAAATAAGAACTTATGCTTAACTGGTTGAAATTTGGAAATTACTAATAAAAAAATGAACAAAGCAATAAAAATCCCAATAGGAAGTTGAAAAACGACGGCATCGATCGAAAACTGACTTCATGATTTATTGTTAGAACTTATTGGATATTCTCATAAACAAGTGGTCGTCTAGATTTTAGAATTTTAATGGGCGTGTTCTTCCTTTTTTGGAGATACATGGGATGGAAGTTTCATGTCTTAGTTGGATGCTGGCAAGAGTGCAGGTTTGATCAGAGTTTTCGAATTTGTTTCAGGCAATTTTATACAATTAATTTATACTTCAAAAATTTCGAAAGTGCAACGATATCCACTTCCGTGAACCTATTTTTTTCAAGTTTTTGACCTGCACTATTATTAATTATCCTACAAGTTTGTTTGTAGTTTTTTTATTATACTCAGCAGTGCACCAGAAGGATCTTTCAAAAATTGAACTCACAGGACGGCATTTAAGCATTGCTCCGGCAAAACAGTGAATAACTGAGAGAACAGCGAATATATGACCAACCAAGTATGCGAGTGTCTCCGAAACTGAATGAAAAAAAAATAATAAAATAGAAATCGCAAAAACGAAAAAAGTCCCGAAAAAAACTCTTATGTTTCTACGAAACCGTCTCTCAGGGTGACGGATTCCGAACAAAACATGTGGCATCATTCTCAAAGTTTTCAGAATAGGAGAAATTAAGGGAACATTGAATATTTGGATGCAAATGAGAAAACTGACTATTTCAAATTCGAAGTGCAAAACAATGGACTCACGTAAAACTTAACTCAACGCAGCATCTATCGTCGTTCTCTTCAAATGAAAACAGCATTTAATGGAAAAAATACGTATCTCCAAAAGCGTAGCCAAAGAAAGTTTGAAAAAAATTATAGGCTTTCAAAGATAGCTGAATAAAGTCGTTACAAAGCACTCTTATTTTTTTGAATGAAAATGAGGATCGCCGAGAGTACAACATCGAGTTTTTTTTATTATCGTGTGTGGTTTTCTGTTATTAGAAGAAATGAACTGTTTGCTCCTGTCGTCATGAATGCCAATTGTTGATGATTGTACGGAGGAAATTGTAGTACTTGATTCTCATACAATTTTTTCAACTTGGAATTCGAGACTAAAGGCAACAAGAATTACTTCAGATATTTTCCAAAATATTAGTAAAATGTATTAGGTTGTTCAATAAATAGTGGTCACTTTCACTTCGCTCTACCGTTGCTTATCCAATTTTGGGTTTTTTTTTCAATTCTGTTTTTATATTTATAGACGTCACACATTGCATGTTTAATAGAAATTTAAAAATTCCGAATGGACTGTCTAACGGCCGAGGATTTTCTCGATAACGGACACATACTGAAAAGTGTTTCTTTGATCATATGTTTCCAAGGTCTCTCGAACAACGACCATTAGCGAGCAGAGTGCAAAATGTTAGACGTAGACCTCATCTCTCGAACCACGATTGAAATTTGGTTCAAAAGATTCGGATAAGAAAATTATGATCTGGATCATAAACCAATACCCAAAAGGCCTAGCCTTAATAAAAATGAAAATATTTTAATGATACTGGAGGAAAAGCTCTGTGCTACTTTGCGTGCATTATCTTTGCAGCCCACCATCCTAATAGCACCGTAACAGATCATGTTCCTCAAACGGGAAGAGCTCGGAGAGTCGATCAAATCGTTCCCCACATTTTGACCAATTTTTAGAAAAAAGGTCCGATGAGACCTGTCCGTTTCTCTCCTCTCCAGGAAACCGACAACGGACTGGGTCAACAAAACAATCATTGGAGATGATGAACGGGTACTGTATGTTAACAATGCCAGTAAGCACCTATGGTTCTCTGCAAAGGAAACGGTGGAATCGGTCTCAAAAGGCAACCTTCAAGAAAAAATCAGATTCTTCCGATTCGGTTAGACAGTGCTGAAGTAAAATACCGCAAGCTGCTTCCGGATTCCTATGTCATCAACTTTGGCTTTACGGCTTTCAAATAGAAAGTGGTATTTATGCACATCGCTCTCACCTCTAGAGAGGCTCAGTGTTGAAATTTTTGCATGACAACGAAAAACCACACAAATATTCGAAGAGCCGTTACAAACTCTATCTTCTAGGAATCGAAGTTTTGCATTGTTCATCGTACACCGCCAACCTGGCACTAGCTAATTACAACCATATCCGATTTCTCCAGAATCGTCTTGCTGGTGAGAAAGTCCATGATCGGAAGGATGTCAAGAAATTTTTGGAACACTGTTTTGCCTCTAAGTCGCCAGAGTTCTACGCGAACGGAATTGCCCAACTTCCGTTGCGCTGGCAAGAAGTTATGAACTCCAATGGCGAAATAATTTCTCAATGATTCTTGTTTTCCTTGAAGGAAAAACTACTTGAAGAAAAGTGACCACTATTTATTGAACAACCTAATATAACGTGATTTATAATATCTTAATTACAAACTCCTCACATTTTGTTTTAGTGTTTTATGAAGAATTGTGCGTGTTTAATGAAGAACTGGAAAATGTTTACGGTAGTATTTCGAAAAATTCAACATGTATACATCACTTCTGGCTCACATCTTTATTTAATTACAAGATTTAAAACTGTTATCATTTGCCGGATTGAAATAAAATTATGATGAGATCCCAATATTGTAAATGAATGCCCGTCAATATTTTTTCTTAAGTTTAGTTTTTTTGTCTAATTCGGTCAACGAAACGCAGTTTCGTCCCACGATGGGAAACAAAGTCAGACTTATATCACGTAAAAATTTTCATGAGATCATTTCAAATCTGAAAATACATTATTTTTAAACATTTACAAATCAGTTTTGATTTTGACACAAATTTGTCGTCCGAAGAGTTCAATGTTTCAATAAATTATACTGTAAAGTACAATTCAGCATTTTTCAAAACTTGTAATCAGATACATTACTGTGACATTTTTTGATTCTTTATTGTGATTCTCTGGCAATTTATCTTTATCTCCCATTATGATTTTATCTTATTTCCCATTTTTACTTTTTTCCGGAAATCAAATCGGCTAGCTCTATGTTTTCATCCCAATTCAACACTAAACCAATGTATATATTTTTTAAAGTTCCACACGTTGGAACTCCATTTTCAAACAACTTTAGATTCTTTAATCACTGCGGGTGAAGTCCGCTGATAATATTCAAAAAAAGGTTGATAATGTTCAAAAAAATATTTTGGAATATGTAATTTTTACGAAAATATTATCGTGGAAAAATCCCTAAAATTCGGATTTTGATTTACAGAAAAGTGTTCCAATAAACACTTTGACGAAGTTCATCAAGGTTCCCTTCTTTCTAATCAGTATATAAAATTTCATCAACGAACCTTATAACTATCAAAATAGAAGGAGGCGTGTTGAACTCAAACGATGAATAGTCATAGAATGAGCACCAAATTCAAATTCGAATAACAATGAGAAGAAATAACATGCCCAAGAAAAATATGTATTGCCTCAAAAAATGTCGACAAACAATCAAGGGGTGGAATGGGAGACCGACGAAAATTGAAAATATCTAGACGCTCTCTTTTCATCACCGCAGTATTCACTCCCGATTCAATTTCCTGTGGCGTTTTTACTACAGTTACAGTAAGACTGAATTATTAATACATTTCGCCTTCCGATACTAAAATAAGCGAAGGCGAAATTTTTTGTTTTCAGTCTTACCAAATGGGTGAACATTTTTGAAATATTGACAACGAGTGAACCGAAATTCTGAATTTTTTTAATTTTTATTCCAGAATAGCTTTGTTCTATCAGTGCTCCAAAGGTCTGTTTCATCTATACTACAAACAACGGTGATCAATTTCTGCATTGACCGAATTTTTTTCAGAACTGTTTGCGTCCTAAAACTTTAAAAAATTCAATTTTTGTTTTCTACCTGAAATGCCAACAGTCAGGAGCAATTTATTACGTTTTATTCTGGAAAAATTGCATCACAATCTTTATTATCTTGAGTTGGTGAACGCAAGTGGAAATGGATTATCTTCGAACTGGTTCTCACGAAAACATGATTCCAAAATGAAATACTGAAAAAATTACTCTTTTTAAGTTTTTATCCGATTTCGTATAACATTTTCGCATGTGTAAGTGCCATGTTAATGCATCATGTTGGTGTCCAAATATAAAACTGTCTCATATAAAAAATACCAGTTCTACTCAACAGACAGTAATAAGCCATTGCAGTCAACGAATTTCTGACGGATACACTATCATATTCAGAATTGATGAAACATTTCAAAATCCCATGCAAAACAGAGTATGCATTAACCAAGGAAGCATCCCGAAGTGTCTCATTGATTGAGCCAATCATTGAATATCACTTATAAAAGCTGAAGAAGTTATTGAATGCTCACTTCTAATATACTGTAATAAAAAAGTTTCAAGTTTGAGTTAATTTTTCTTGGCTCCTATGCAAGATATAAAAACAGACAACTAAATACAAAACACAAAAAAGACAAGTTGGAAATACTTGACTGAACAATTTATCCTCTGACAAGTAACGAGATAAATTGACTCTGAGTTGAAAGTTAGGAAGATTTATTAAAGGTTTTAAGATAACTGTGCACAAATTCATATAATGTGTCACAGAAACTTTTGATATGCTTTTGTAGTTTTTTTTCTGTGTTTCACTTATCCCCAGTATAGATGGGTGCGCTAAAACAGAAGAATAGATAGAACAGCCAGTTTGCCACAATGGGCGGTACCAACGCACCTGAGCGGAGGGGATGCAAAAGAATAAATGCGTGGTGGGTATTTTCTGTACGTGAGAAAAATACCCAAACTGGAAATCCTAGTTCTATCAACTTGAAATGTTCCTTTTTGTTTTGCTCACGTTTGAATGCTTTTTTTTTCAAATCAGTCTGATTACGAAAAAATTTTTCTCAAATTATCTGAATGATTCATTTGTTACAGTTTCGTCTATGAGATTATACATTTTTCTATGGCTGACATCATTAATGTCGTATGTATTCTGCCAAGTGATTATCGCTAAAAATACTCAAGGCAAGTGCTGCACTTTTTTTTTCACGATAACTGAAACCGTGTTCGCATGTTCTTTTTTCAAAAAGCCTCATATTAGCAGATACTAGAAGTGAAGTTTCAACAATATAAAACGGATTCACAAACTATAATAAACAATTTCTATATCAAAGTATTATGCCAAAAATGTCCCTTGTTTTTAGAATTTCACAAGAAAAAACCTGTTTCCCTTTTAACACTTGATTATTTTTCCAAATTTTTAACAGAAGTATAGGTTGGAAAACTGTGAGCAACCTAGGTTTCAAAAACCTGTAGACTTGGTGTAGGTGACGCTCTGATGGACATAAATGATGATACTGATATTATGATGTCATCAGTTTAGTCTACCTCAACGGTCAAATTCATATTATTTGTTGGATTTTTAAAACTAAACTTTTATTTTTTTTTTGAGTACGAAGACTTCATCTCTTTTTTTCTGCAACTATTTCTTTTCTTCCGCGTTCCCTATTTCCTCGATTTCCATCTGTGCGACTTCCATCATATTTCAACTGTAGTAGTACCCACCTCGTTATAATTATGCCGGGGGGTAATTATGTCCTGAATAGTAGGAAGACAGATAGGTAGGTAGGTGTATGCAAAGAGAAAGAGAATGTCGCATGCTGGTACTTCGACTGTAGCGGTAATTATATAGAAAACTACCCAGAGAGTGTGTGTGTGTGTGTATATATTTGCTTGGTCTCATCGTAAAGAGAACGGAGGAGACTGAATAGGTATTTTGAATTGTACTTGCCAACGAATAAGCATTGCAAGGTCACTGACAGAGACGCGTGGTTTTTGGTATATGGAAGTTATTGAATTTGAAGAGAATTATTAGTCTTGCATTAGTTCAAAGTTTTTCATAGGTCAGTATCAGCCAAATTTTTGAACATTATACTCTGAATGGGTCACATCTCAAAAGTGAAATTGAATGAAACCCGTAATAACGATCAATAGATCGATAAAAGGCACTAATGCTGATAACTGAGAGGCCGTATTCATGCACATATTCAATGGAAAATATCTCTTTTTCGGAAACACTATTTCGAACTTTCAGATCTATCCATTCATGCCAGCTGTGATGAAAACAATCCAAAATTGTAATTCTTATTTTTCATGAATTTTCTGGATACAAAAAAAGTTATTTTGTTTGTAATTGAACAATAACATCAGAAAGGCAAAAAAAAACCAAGGGCAAGGCGAATGCAGATTTTATAGTATCATTCAGAAGAAAAAAAAACAGCTTAGACAATTATTCGAATAATTCGTTTCAGTCACACCTCGTTGCGGATCCCAACTCATTTCGATCGAGCTGAATTTTGATCCTACACAACTTCCTGGCGGCAAATTTACTGACTGGATCATTGTTGGAGTTTCTGGCAAGTTTTTTCCGCTTCAGGTATACAGTTGAACATCGTTTTCAGGAAGACCTGAATGCCGTCTTCGTGGCAATGGTGAAACCAAATACATTATCGAAATAGCAGTTTTCAATGATCCGTGCCTCACGCAAATTGTATGAGTGTTCATCCAATTAAAAATTTAATCATCAGACATTTTAGCCAGCACAAAATGTTTTTCAAAATCGCATTCGAATTGGTAAAAATCCAGTGGTCATCCTAGAAAAAGATCAATCAATTACTGTAAAATGTGTTTATGGGCTACCTACAATTGAGACAATGACGCTCCCTGTCATAAATTCTAACTTCAATGTGGACAAGTAAATGTTTTTCTACAACCTCTTCATTTCATTAGTTTTCAGTTTTGCGTTTTCGAATCATTCCGAACAGTTTTCAACTAATTCTCCGTCAGAAGCTAATTTCAATATCAACGAATCAAGTAATAGACATCAGTTGCTAGAAAATAGGGAATCATTGGATGCTTACAAAAAGGTAGCGACTAAATATTATTTTTGAATTTTAATCGAATATGTTTATTCAGAGTCGAAAATAACTGATCAGTTGTCACCTACTCAACAAATCAACCCTGAGCAGTTTTCAACTGTTATGTTTGGAAGCAATCAAGTCCCAACTAATGAATGGATCGGTCGAAACACGCTTGCACCAAACTCCGAAGATAGAAATCGTGACAGAGATATTACCCAAACTGGTTTTGAAAATACACCAGAAACAAACTCCAATCAAAACGGTTTTGATTTATTCCTACCCCTGCTTAATTATCTTTTTCAAGGAATGTTTCATTTCAGGACTCACAGCCAATGAAAAAATTAAAAAACGGTCATTCTCTACAATTTTCATCGCCGCTGTTGTCTTGATCGTGTTTTTATTTTTGGCTTTATTAGCTTTCTCCCTAATATGTCTTCGTAGAAAATTGGCAAATCGAAATCAAAGTCTTTTGATGGATAGAATTTCAGGTTGACGAAAATGACTATTCAGGGTTTAAAGCAATTTTTTCCAGATAGAACATGGCGCGCTAATACTTCAAACGACGAATATGGGAGCACGTAAGTTAATATGAAGCTTACGAGAAATTGCGATGCTGAAAATATAACAGCTTAGGATATATCTGTTTTTTCTTATTTTTCAAAGCCATTTCAGGCCGCCAACTTTATCCGGAAGACCTGGTGTAAGTGACCAAAAATCACCATACTCTATGGCTGCAATAGGAAAGGAATTTCTTCGGTGCGTAAAGTTTTCATTATATCAGTATCTTAATGAGGTTTAATAGTGTCTATACCCAAACGGAGATCTTCCTCTTTTTTTCTTGTAGTGAGATATGCCCACCGTCTTCGTCTCTAATAATTTCCATTTTTGGACAGCCATTTTCTATCCGATCTTAAATTAGCTGAAATCGAGCGACAATTAGTGGAAGTGAACAACGGAAATGCATCCTTTCAAACTATCATTAAACCCCGGCTT